CATTCTTTGATAAACCACGAAACCATTCTCTAACTTTCAATGAGAAACAAAGCTACAAAAAAAAAAAACACACCCACATCTGCTCATAATGGCAACAGAGGCAGAAACAACTGGAAATTGAACTCACAATTTCCAGACGAAAATTAAGCGTTTCAACTTGTAAAAGTTAACAGTGAATATGTATTTAGAAAAGTAGCATTCCCTTGCTATCGCAGGTATTACAGCTTCTGTTCTCAGTTCAAGCAAGCTACTCCAATGAATTTCAAAAAATAGATAAAATGGCAGTACCAGCTTTATATGGTTGCAAGAGAGGTACATGTACTATCTAAATGTACCTACAATATTACAGCCATAATGTGGAAAGTTGATCATTTTCACAGAATTCTGACAGCTGTTGATATACATGTACATTTGTAATTTGACGACAAAAGTCCCACTACATGTACATATGTACATGTACCATACATGTATTTCCTGGAATCTATGAATGTCTTTTATGCCGAATCGGCATACATTTATTTCTTCGTTTTACTCAATTATCACTAGATAGGTATTAAAAACAGTCCAAGTAAAAATTACCTTTCTTTCATGATGAATATTGCACCGAAAATTGCCAGCATCGTACAGGAAAAGACAGCAAGAACTTCAAACCGTTCAAATCTGCATTTTGTCAAGAAGAAACACCATACCATAGCTAAAGTGCCAATGACACACTTTTTGTCAGGTAATAAATCACACCTATGCTGCAGACAAGTTTCACGAGAAGCTGAAGTTTCTTCGGGAAATTCATCAATACGCTGTGAAGTCCCATGTGTCGTGATCTCAGTTTAACACTGACTCCCATTACCATAAGCATGAACAAATGAGCATTCCATACATGTAAGTCATTTTAAGATAACCTGTGCACATGAACGAGATTGGTCCATTCATTCAGTATTATGGTCAGTAACGACATTGCTTTACATGAGCTTTGCTGTCCCAATTTCGCAACAAGTAAAACCACCGACATCCTTCTCAGTTACTCCCAACCTATCACTCAGAAACAAATGGCATACTGTGCTCTTGTACATTATCAAAAGTTTAGAGGAGTATGTAGAAGACACTGTATGGCCTTACAAGGGCTTCCGATGAGAGATGCATGTTCATGCTGGTCAATGCATGCCAAATTTATACAAATTTAAAAAGTTGTACCAAATCACTTCTCACCCAAATGAATATACAGACACTGGTCTCTGTTGAGACACCCATATCGTGATGAGGCATGTCACCAGTAACATTAGATCACATACTGTCAGGTATGTATAGGCACTCAGGGCTGAAATGGAAAATATGAAACAAAACTGTGATCATGTAACTTTTATCCCGTTCTTTTAAACCAACTTTTTGAGAACTTGGAATATCTGCTAGCCTTTCATAAACAAACAATATTTGAGAAGTATGCCCCTGCGCCATAGTATTGGAGGAAACAAATTCTGAACAAATCTGAGTGTATTAGCCCCATCCCCACCACCCCATCCAAAGTCAAAAAAGACAGTCATTTCAGGAAAATGGAAAAGTGACATCTGGGAGGTTCTCACTACATAGCTTAGAAAAAGCACAAGGGGAGATAACAAAAGCCTGTGCCAAAGCTGGTATTCATGTACATGTACTGTGACAGCAGCATCTGCATGTACCTTGAACATTGCTCATTGGGTAACCAGTCTCATTTGATTCTAATTTGAGGAGACACTTGGGACACAAATGTATTCTGAACCCCGGGTGCCCATCCTTTCGCACCCATTTGGCCATTGAGGTATTTAATGCGTGCATACCTCCTGTGAGCGAGTGTGTCACATGCTGTAGTGACTTACAAACCTAATTGCCAGATTAGTCAGAAAAAAGCAGTACACGGCTAAAATTGAAATGTCCAAAATGTTTACAGAAGGCTAGCACTGTCAAACTTCTGGTTGGTGGCAATACATCAAAAGGTAGATTTTTTAAGTCTCATTCATCAATTTAAGTATAAAACTTCCAAGTTTATTTTTATTGTTTTATTGGATATTTCCACTCCAGTGAGTACTAATTAATATAATTGTGCCAGTAGGAAATGCTTTAGGTATACAAAATGTACATTGGAGAAAGTAAAATGAATAATGGGTGAACTATATTTACAAAAACAGTAATCTCGATTTGAAATGCCCAGGGCCATCAGTTAAGTGTTAATATTTATGGACCCACTGACGACAAATGAATGATACAGATGCTCACCCATGCTGTTGGTAGACTGACACCACAGTAGAAGCACCAGCATACAGGCAATGTCAAAAACTCCCAAGATGACGACCCTTCTAGCCTGTTAAGGGAATACGTATATGTACATACACATGAATGTAAGTTCACCGGGCAGGGTTTTCAAACTAACAAAGTATGGACTCTAAACGCAAATTGCAGACTGTTACACATAGTCTAGATTCTGGCTGTTTTATCTGTTTTCCTCACACTGTTCTTGTGAATCCAGTACAGCACTGATGTACATGTACATGTAGCACATATGCATCCTGAATCATTTTCATGCATGTGAAAGCCCATGGTATTGGTGGTAAGACAGGGAACACCCTTTACACCCTAGATTAAATCTGTTATATTACTTACTTCTCTTTCACCAATTACTGATCGGAACTCCTGTATAAGCTTGGACAAGACTCCTTGCTGTGGTCTGGCAAAGGGCTGGATTGGTCCTGTGATGTGATCCTTAGCCCCTCCATTCAACACTGCTCTCTGCCGCAAATCTACAACACCAACATAGGAAGAAATAATGACATTACACAATTCGTTTTGCTAGAACTAACTCCTTCAAATTTGTTGCAATCATTTCCCCAGCTTTGGAACTCTTTATCGGTAGATATTCTGCACCAGGCAATCGATTCTTTTAAATAACGATGACAAAAGTCAGAAACAGGTGTCACTAGGCCACTTTGAAAGGGGTGGTCATCTCATCCAAAATTTGCTTACAGACGAAAAGAAATATAATTTGTTAAAAATCGATGTCCCCAAAACCATGTCTATGTGAAAAATCTTTGATACCGAGTCAAGAGCACAGTTGAATTGCCAGTGTGTGCAAGTTTTAAATTTATGTAACGAAACAAAAACTGTACAAGTAAAATTGAACAAGTTGCACAAATTCAAAATCTGCACATTAGAATTCCATATACATGTACAGACATCATTAATTTCCCTTACAGTGGTTTATTAGCCATCGGAAAGCAATGACATATCCTACATGTACATCATGTCACAGTCCTGCAAAGTTTAGAAGGACCAGGAGTAGGTCTTGTAGGTTCTGATAAATCTGGAGACAATTAAGACCTGGAAATGCTTTAATTGTGCAGTGCATTCAAAATTTAATTTGATACCAAGAGCACCTTCATATGCATGTGCAGTTTTATGGAAGTTATGGCAATGTTTGTTCTTGACAAATGGAATTTTCTTGTTGTGTTTGTATTGAGCCAAGAAAATTTTTGCGATCGCTGACAGTGGCTTCCAGTTCCAGAACTAAAATGTCAATTTCTCCCTTATGGATAAAGGTCATTATAAAACTTTTAGCACCTGTAAACTGAGATATGTACTATGCAGAATATGTCGGAAGGACTTATATATAAATACAGACGCCATTAAGTTTTCCCTTCAGTCATCCGTCAGTGATCTACAGTATTAGCCACCTAAAAGCAATGAGTTGCCCACAAATGTCAAATTGAGCAGTGAAAATATTGAAGTATTCATTTAGAAAACACTTCAAATTGTTCAGAGCAGTCTCACACAGTGTCAAAGGGTTTCGAGTTTGTGGATACGATGTTCCATAGCCCTATATATGGAATTCGTTTTGATATGTCAAGTAATACCAAGTATTTGAGTAGCCCCTCATTGAAGTAAATTTATTCTATGAAACAATGCAGAGGATTAATGTTGCAATAAATCTTTTCTTTATGGGTACTGAACAGTTACAGTTGGGCAACATTTTGGGCATGTTGGGTAACTTTCGATGATATGCATTGAGAAACTGACTGGGCAGGATCCCCATGAAGGACTTGCAGGGCAATACAAATATGCCTCGGGTCCTTACCCCAATGTACCAATACACTAAGCCAATTTCCCGTTCTGTCACGATGTTGATTATAGTGTCCCAACGCAATGAAGAGAACATCCATGTACATGTAGGCTATGTATGTTTTTTGGATAGCCTAGGCTGGCTATGTCGGAGGCAGGAAGCCTTTTTCACGTTTTATGTGCACATGCTCAGAAGATTTAGAGGGGAACAAATTCATGACAAAAATGTTGCGTAATGTTTGGTGAATTGCTGCTCGCGACTGTTGAAGACAATTTGTTCATATTTGTTCATTTTGGGAAGAGTTCCATTAATGGACGCCAGTAATTATTCTCTACAGTGACCTATTAGCCTTCAGAAGGCAAAAACATGTCCAAAAAAGTTCAATTTAGCAGGGGAAAAAGTCGTTTACTTAGAAAACACTCAGAACTTTTCAGACCAGTCTAATAGTATTACTAAATTTGTGCAAGGGGCATGTGGGGTGTCAAGTGGTGTACCTTCATTATATTTATACTGATACTATCATGCTTAGGCTAGGTTAAATTTTACACCGCTGTGATTTTGTCAAGTGATGTCTGGGTATGGACCTATTTCCAATATGCACACCTTCAAAAACTGCGCTTAACTCTAAGGCCTAGCCTAGGCCGACTAGGTGTCCCGCGCGCACTGCCGGACTGCCTACCTGACGAAGTTGACTGTGCAACTGGAGCAATATCCATTGACGTGTCGTACGCATCTATGTCGATTTTGAAGGCCTCCCGATCTGACAGTACAGCAGAATTTACGTTATCAGACCCCTGGTAAAATCTTGTTCCAGTCTGAGCCATTTTAGGGGCATATCTTTCACGGAAACTATCATTCTGGGATTCCAACGTGGAAACTTTAAAACTAGCGGACGTGGGCGCCGCCATCTTTTATTGATGACTCATCAGACAATGAACGATTCTCTGTATTACTTCATTGGTTGAATGACGGACTTGTCACAGTCAAACGCCAATGATCGGAGTCCTTTCATGCCAGGTTATTAAAAAAATTGGCCGCAAGAGGGCGTAAAACTACGGAGACCCGGTACTCCCACAGGGTACAGACCATTAAATTAAGTCCCATAAACAACAGTGATAACTGGCCCCACTTTAAAAATACGCAAAAATACTCACAAGTTTCTCAAGTGTTCAAAACACACAGTAAATTAAAGCTCATCTCCTCGTCTTTTCTTTTCCTGTCAATTTTTAGTGGCTTATCCAATGACTTTTGAAGATATTTTTATTCCCCCTAAAAAAAAACAACACTCATGAAGCCTGCAGCCATTTTGAAAAGAGATGCACTTTGTAGCAAAATAGACCATTTTAGGGCACTGATTCCTCCCAAATTCACTCGGACACAAGCTGACATTCCTGTGGCTAGCCTTCACCTTTCTTCCCTGCAAATCTTCAAGTTCGTGGCCCACAAAATGCTCAAACAACAGAAACCCTATTTAATGGCCTTCAACCCATATAGGCATGACATATAATGCATAAGTATTTTGCTTGTTAAAAACCCAGACTATTTATGATTAATAATGAAAACAAACTTAACGCGCAAAGTTATTCTTGTCTTTGAGATTGCCAGAGGTGTGAGCATTCATCTCAGATCAGACAAGCAGATTCCACCCCGCCCCCGGACTCGGCTAATGTGGGTGCGGGTATGTGTGGGCTTTTTGGGGGGGTGGTTTGGTTTGGTTTGGTTTGGGTTGGTTTGGTTTAACTTAGCGTGCATGTATACACACTCCTTGTCATCACAAATGTTAAAGTTTATTAACTCAGTCGTTTTGTTGTTTTGATCACTTGAAGTTAAAGGCGACACGCCTTGCAAGCCCGCGTGCATCGAGCACGCCCGTGGAAAAAGAGTATCATGGGCTGACCTGTCTCGGAATACGAAAACCCAATCGTGCCACAGACAAAAAAAAATCAGTGGGAAACTAATTCGTTATTACAAATTATCAATCCGTAACTACCAAATAAAAATCCGTTAGTATAGATTATCAGTTCGTTATTACGGTTTACTTATTCGTTCTTATGGCTTGCGAACACTACGATTTAGTAATTCCTAATAACAGATCATTATAATTCGTTATTTCGAATCAGTAATTCGTTATTAATTATGAATTAGTTGACGATCGATTTTTTTTCTTTCAGTGGCATGACTAAAATTTCGTCTTGGCAAAAATGCACGCTGCTCTGGAACGGCATGTTCGATTTTCGCAAAGTAGATACACAATGGCACATTGTAGCAGGTTAGGGAATCTGCATCAGGACGCTAATAGAACCAAATCGGGAAGTTGAAACTAGATTTAAAGGGACGAAGATTCTATTTTGAAACAGAAAAACAAAAATCCTGGCTACCTGCCTGTTGTAGGTGTGGTTTAAGTATTGGTAAGCCAAGGCCCTAATGATTTTGTATAAATAAATTTTAGAACTAAATTTTTATAAAATAAATTCATAATATTGTGCGCATCCGCAGCAAACAGCCAAAAGCATTAGTGCCTATAATTAATAATGTGCACTGGAGTTATGGACATGTTTGTCTCAGTTCGCCATGAATCTTTTTGCTTGTTCTTTGGAAAGAACTCTAAAATCGTCACAGCTCGTACTTTCTAATTTAAACGAGTTTTAGTACACAAAAATATTAAAGAAATATGGCACTGAGCCTCGGGCCTGGACTTAGGGCTTTCAATTCTGAGCAGTTTGGTTGCAATCGGGTCCATTTTGCAGAGGGACGGTTTTCAGAATGGCAACTTCTCTGGGCAGGGAAGTTTCCAGCACTTTAAGGGTGGTTTACTTTGGGTGAGAATTTCTCAAAAATTCCTTGGTCAACCGACCAAACATTGAAAGGAAAATGAAAGAGGATATGCCGAATATCATTTTCTAGGGAATAAATGAAATTTGGTCCCCCGCGAATACGGTTTACGGACGGCGGACCGCCGTGCTTTGATCTTTAAGTAATTAGCAGCTCAAGATTATGGCGAGGTACTCAAAGGTCCTGCAAAGCAAAGAAAACAACTGCTTTACTATAATACCAATTTAAGATTCGGAGAATCAGTCTTATTTGCATCTAGGCCTTCACATGTATTACTTTTCGATTTTAAAGCACGCCGCTTTCATGTCCCCCTTCAACTGACTTTATCTATATACGACCTTTTTGTGAGCACGATATTTCATTTTGTTCAACCAATAATTATAGAAAGGCTAGGCCGGAATCGAATAAACAAAATCAAAAGCAGAGCGAAAGATTTTTCAAGGGGCAGGGGGAGGGGAATGGAAACTTGATGGCATTAGAATAAAACACAGTTACCACCAGTGTGACAGTTGCCTACATGGATGAATTACCAGCACATTTTAATAATTTCATGCAAAAATATTAAATTGGAAAAGTAAATATTCTGACGCAGTGTAAAAAATAAATAATTCATTAATTAAATTCATCAAGGAAACGGTTCTGCTGGAACGCATTTGAACAAGTGTTTTGTACTGTTATAAATCACTGCACTGTTCGAATTCAAAGTAATACATTAATTAACAAATTTCAATAAAAAAAAATTCACTCCAATTTGTCTGGTCCTTAATTTCTATTTGAGGGATTGAATTTTCACTCAAGTGGAGTGAATTTTCATTCTTTAGGATTTAGAGAGTACCCTGTCTCCCCGGTTCGTATTAAGTGAGACATCATCGCAACGAGAACCAAGCATAGGGACTACTCGTATACGCGAAGCTAAGAAGCGACGTCGAAATTATTGGGACCCAAAAAAGTGGCGCACGCGAACGTCGCGAAGTGACATTTTGAGTCAGTATGAACGCTTCTTATCAGGGTTATGTGAGTGTGCTGCCAAGGCATGATATTCGGTGTTGTCTTACTGCATGGGGGAAAAAAGGCATGCTAGCCTTACCGGAACAAATCGAAATTTGCATTTTTCGCGACACCATAATTACTTCACCTGAATTATTCACCGCTTAGTAATGAATGCACGGTGAAGCTAACGGTATTTTGACCCAGTTAACCGCGAAATTGATCGTAAAAAGAGCAAAAAAATGCACCCCAGTTTAATCATCATGTTGTCGCAAAAGGTGTACACCGAAATCTGACAAGTTAAAAGTTTGTTGAAATTATGTTTCAGACCAGTAATGCTGATATTATGTTTTAGACCTGAAGCTTCGGATTTCTGTCACAACATCAAAAAAGATCGTATAAAACAGCACAAGACCATATCAACATTCAGTGATTATAATGTTGCGCATGTACTGTATAAGTCTGCACGATATGTTAATTAAGGCCCTGATGTCAAAACCAGGCTGCAGGCCTTTGTGTATACACTTGTTTCTTAAAGTAAGAGGTGATGGAGTAGCATGAGTTGGCACCACGAGAGTCTACTGGGGTATGGGGTGAGAACATCCCTTAAAATCCCAAGCAAAACGATGTCACCAGTGCGCATCTTTATACTCTAGCGTATACGAAAACTAGTCGACATCCTTTCGGGGTTAAGCATTTTTAAAAATGTACGTTTGTAAACATTCAAGATTGTCCAAACTTTTCTGTGTGTTATCGTAATGCCAATCAGGGAAGACACTGTCAAATTGTGAACCCTGCTCAATGAAAATATTTCTCAGAGAGGGTTGCTGTAGTTGGCTTTATTATCGTGTATTAAGGTCAACTCAACAATAAAACACCAAAGAAAATTATATTAGGACAAAATTCCACATGTTTTTGGTGCAAAAATTTCTTGGGATGACATCACATTTTTTCTTCATTAATATGAACATTTACATTAGAATCAATCAAACAAGTCCCAAAAATGTTCTAAAATACCAAAATAACAAATGAAAATACGTTTAATTTAAACAGAGAGGTGCACATTCAATAGATGTATTAAAATATTAAAACCGTATTACACTTGCATGAGCAATAGACTCTTTATTGGTAACACTTTACCAGAAAAAAAGTTAAGTGTGGATCTGTAATCGTATACGTACATAAGTATTATGCGTGCATGTGGATACCAGTTTGAAATACGAACACAGCCACCTTTGTCATCCCCTGCCATGCCTCTGGCCCACAGACAAAAATATTCGGATGATAATGTTAGGTCCCAATTGTAAGCGTCTGTCCCAAAGTTCGGACAGTCCCAACTGTAGTGCTGCAGTTGGGCTGGGCCAACTATTGTTGACCAATTCCTGTAGAAAATTTCTAAACCTTATCCAAGTTTATGCATCTCACTCTGGACATAATTCATCTAAAATACGGCACTTCATCTATGACATGACATTGTTAACCATACGAATTCGGCAAATACTGGGCACATGCATACCTCTATGCTATAGTTAGGCCGGCTCAACTATAGCACTCGAGTTGGGACGGGACCAACTATAGTTGGAACGGTCCCAACTATAGTTGGGACCGATGCTACAGTCGGGGCGTAACAACAACACGTTCATTGTCCTGTATAGGGGAAATAATAGGCTACCCCCTTTGGACAAAGCAAAACAAAAGAAAACAAAAACAGACACCTTCGTGTAGTGCTTTGTATTTTGTTTTGTATTATTGCTTCATGCTAATACATGTGCAAGTTCGAATAGCCAAAGCTTGCCCGTGCAGTCTGTCTCTTTTTAACCAGAGTCGGCACTCCAGTTGCTACACAGTCATTACTCCTCGATGAATGTGACTTTTACCGTAGCCAGTCTCTGACGACTTTGAAACGACGAAGTATTAACAAACCAAATAACCAATGATGCTTCGACAAAAGTTCAATGAAAAGAATCAACACGGAATCTGTAAACTTGACCTTTCAGTCATTGCTTCTTAACTGCATTGTTCAAGCTAGTGATGTTTCTTGAATATCACCAAACCTCAAGGCAAAGAGGGAAGATGCTCGTACGCATGAAGGGAGTCGGCAGTAATTTCCTCAATAGTGCATTTTGTTCCTGTAAAGGATGGGGAAAAAATCTGAAATTTTCATAAAGAAAGCACAAAACATCATTATTTTATGGTATACGCTTCAGACAACACCACAGTGCAGAGCGTTAATTAAAATGGGATGAAACTTACATGCAACATTGCAACATTTTAAACTTCTAAAATGAACAAAGGAAGATCTTTCAGGGTGGATGGGGTCATGGACGTAAATCCCAGGGGAATGGGGTATATATATTTTTTGTGGGGGGGGGGAATCGGATTAGTTAATCATCCCCACACACTTTCTTGTGGTGAGCAAAACATTAAAGCGGATTGTGAAGCATTTTTCATAGAAGCGTAGAGTCATGTATAGGGTTCCGCATGCCATGGCAGCCATACTTCCGGTCAGTGCTTTTCATGGCTGAGCAAGTCTCCCCCTCACCTTTCCCCATCCCCCACCCCCCCCCAACCACACATTCAATTCCGGCACAAACATTTACACCACTGGGCGGGGCATCTCCCATCTCAATTCTCAATGAATAACTGGAATTGGTGATTGAGTTTGCTTCATCAAAAGTTCCCTGTAGGCATTAAATTTAAGCACACGCCCAAATGTGTTCATGTAAAATTTGTGAACCACAGACATTGAAAGAAAAGCTTTGTTGATATACGAGAGAATTTTACACACCTGGTTCGCTGCCCATGGTTGCACTGCTGGGCCGAAAGCTAGGCTTTGAACCAGGGACAGGATATGTGAAATATACGCACTGATGTTCGGCAGGGTCAAAAAACGGCCGTTTTCGATCTGCATGCATCACAGTTATGATTAAAAGGTCAGATGACACACTGGTGTGTTTTCTGTGAGGATTAAATATTTAAAAACTACAAATGCTGTCAACATGTAGACTAGGCAAAGTGAAAACAAATGCCCCCGAAACTGATGTCATTGGTAGGTAGTAGTTAAACAGCAAATGACAAACTTATAACTCTGATCGAGTTTTTACATCACTAGATCTCGTACTCGAAAACACCATTAGCATAATTATGCAGCACTCGAAAATTTTGCATCCATTACCAAGAAGCACTTCGTGGCCTCATGACGTACATGCAAGAGAATGGAATTAATTATACAGCGGGTTGTGATTCATAAAGTTGGCGTCAATCCAAATCTTAAATGAGCTGAGAAAAACTTGATTGCCCATCATTGGTGGAAAATTGATACATCAAAAGCACAGTGCTTGCAGTACTGGATTCAGTAATAGTTATTCAAATATTGTCCCTGCAGCAATAGAGCAGCACACAAATTAAACTAACCCAAGAGATGTAAAATTTTGCGTTCGATACAAATTTACGGGTAAACACACACGCGCGCGGTTGTATTATACTCTCGGCTTGTCCGTCACTTTCTCACTATTTATTCACATATTCCTCCCTAGAGTGGATTTCCGATCGTATGACAATCTGACCCTTTTAAAGCCAAATTTGATTATGCTGCTTCTTGTTTAGATCACGTGAATGATGTCCATAATAAAGATTTATTTCATTCCACTCGAAGTCAGTTCTAGGACAATGTTTCTCAGAGGCCATGTGTTCTGTTATGACGTGTGTTCCACTGAGGCAATAAAAAGAAAGCGCCAATGTTGTAGTGATCCGGGTGCTGTTTTTAGACTCCGTCTTTTGTTTGCAAACATTGACTATTTCGTATCGGCAGTCAAAGTTTGCAGAAAGTCAATCCTGTGTTGGCAGAAAGGTGTGCCTCCAGATGCACGGTTTTGCTTAATCGGTGTTAGAACGAGAGACATTTTTGTTTATTTATCAAGTAGAAAATAGTATATTTGAATATCAGGGAAACTTTTTAACACTTTGTGACTTATTCTTTTGTACTCAAGACGAACCACCCTTACAGATCCAACGAAATGATTTCGCCTTCTGTACGGACTCCCCAATCACTGAGCATTCTCAGTTGTTCATATTCATTTACTTACATTTCCTCTCCCATTTAACTTTTTTGCTGTGCTCCCTCAACCGTTTGCCGAAGTAAATCAGAACCAGCATAAGCAATAAATCTGAAATAAAAATTTATAAATAGATTATACGGCCATTGCAACATTGTACTTTAATAGCTTTTTTGTTTTGTTTTGTTTTGTTTGTTTGTTTTTGTGTGTGTTTTTGTTTGGGATGTCGAAGTCCCTGGAATGCCACAATATTTCAAAAAATCAGTGGCGTAACTAGGGTGTTACATCTGAGGGGGCACCTGGGGGATGCACTTTTTTTCAGGGGGCACTGAAAATAATGAACTAGGTATTTTTTGTCCATTTCAAAATTTCAAAGGGGGGGCACCCAGGGGGCACGGGCCTCCGTTGGGGGGGGGGCACGTGCCCCCGGTGCCCCCCCCGTAGTTACGCCATTGCAAAAATTCGAACTTTATACTCTATATAACCTTCCATGCTCTCCTGTAAAAACGTAGATGCTTAGTTGATACCTCTTAAAACGTATGTGATGCTAATCAAACATAATGTAATCCCATTGGAATTTTTTCAGGATGCATCAAAGTGTGGTATTGTAACCCAAATCACCAGCGGTTGTCCCGCGATTGGAAGGCTGTAGCATTTGATTCTTGATCTGCAAGTTTAGACAAAATAAAACAAAATCGGTCGAAATTTACTCACCGACTGGGATCAGTTTGCCATGCAGGTCACTAACGTCAATTCTCTTCATTGTTTCTGTTAATAGAGTAACCTACGGGTGAAGGGACAACGGGAAACTCATACAACTCAAATCACAGAAATCAATTCGATGTTTAAGGGAAGGGATTGATACCTTGATTGATTCCAAATCTAATTTAAACATCATTGCCAACGAAGGCAGGATTATTTTGTTTGTTTTCCCCTTTGTTCCTGTTTTTCACGAATAATCGAGATTATAGTATTCCGCTTCTTTCGTGGGTTTTCCATACTCATGCATGTTTGGTTAAATAATCTGACTTGTTGACTTCTGAACTGGTTGGTTACATCATCGGGGTAAGTTTCATTGGCAAAATTAGGTAATTGATTTCCCACTAATTTCTGATTAAACTCGCAGGCGGGCAGGCTCCCTTCTCAGTATTTCTTGATCGTCGAGTTAAGTGCATTAAACCTATATACACTAGTTTGACTTACCGGAACAGGAATGGCCATAACGCAAGGGCACATCACCGTGCAAAGAACCAGAAGTACTGTCGGTGGCATATGAACATACAGTAACCTGTGCAACTTAGCTTTCGAAGTCATCTTCATGTTAGGTTTGCAGGTTTGGATTTTATGAGGCGATCTTCTTTGCTTTCGTTAGGTCTCAAATATAATTATTGTTTTTGGGCCAATTTTTTTATATACCGCAAAGATGGTGCCCCGGCTCAATGGCATCCGTTTTTCATAGTTTGCATTTGATGCATTCTAAATTAATTATACCATAAATTATTATAGATGGTTATTTTGCAAACATAATGGCACGTATGCAGGCAGGGGCACTTTTCTCTTCTACGCAATGACGTATGCGACGCATTATAAAAGTAGGCTACACTTTCCTTTGTAAGCTATAAAAGAAGAACCATGGGTGAGTCTTCTCGAGCAGTGAAGCGTCAAGCCGAGGATGCGACTTGAATCCTGACCGGGTAGTGGTGAAGCATGGGAATTTGCCACTTCCCCTGTTTTGCCAAATTTTAGTTTCCTCTAGGGTGATGTTTCAGTGACCCCCCCCCCGCCACGGCGCTGCTCAGAAGTAGCTTTGTTTTGTGGCCAGGACGCTTCTATACTCCAGAGTGTCTGAATATTTTGGCCACGGAATAGGGCTACCTCAGGCCTAGTTATTTCTGATCACATTTGATCACTAACCCCAACCGGCGAGTGGCCCAACCCAGGCCCAGGGTACCTGCCTTTTAAGGGTGCAGGCCAGTAAATAGGCCGAAAACTGCTTGCTTACGGACCAGATCAATTGTATCTCTGCGAAATAGCGCATTTTGTGGCCCATGAACTTGGAGATTCGCAGAAAAGATAGGTTTAGACCACCAAAACGAATGTCAGTTTGTGTCTGCTTAAGATTTGAAAGAAATCAGTGCCTGAAAGCGATCTACTTTTCAAGACTTGAGGCATTTCAAAATGGCGAGGGGCTTCACGAGTGTCTGTTAGAGTTGACCTTCTGTGGAAACAATATCTTTGAAAGTCATCAGTTAATGAATGTAAATTCGAAACGAAGATGAAAAATCATGAAATGGGCTTTAATTTGTTGCGCGTCTCGAACGCCTGAGAAGCTCTGGTATTTTTCCCTGATTTTTTGAACTTCAGGTATTTACCACTCTTGACTATGACTGTTTATTTACCAGCCTGCACACTGTTAAAAGCGGACTAGCGCCCTCACTTGATAAGGTGTGGCCATGCTGGCCAAGGCCGAGAGGTCCCTTCAGTCTGCTTCTAACAGTGACTGACGCGAAGAGTCTGTTCCTCAGAAGGAAGCAAAATTTGTAAGACTCTTTTTCCTTTAAGGGATATTATTTTTTTGTTTTTGTTTTAGAAAAAGAGAACAGAGCTCTTGCATGTTGGCCGTCACGATGTCTGAAAAAAGTTGCACACGGTTCATGTTGTGGCACGACCTCCATCCATGCTCACGGCATTGTAATTTGTATTATGGACTGGTGCTCCGTGTCAATTTACATGTAAAACTTGAACCTTGCAGCATCTGCAATGCGCACACTCCATAAAACGCAAGGTGAAGGCAGAGAGCCGTGGGTTGGGTTTGATGAGCATGACAAATCCCGCCACCCCGCACGATCAACCTCATAGCCAGGTACAGGTCAAAGTGTCACACTCTTCTCAAGGATTTTCACCTTGTACCCATGTAACCAGTCATTCCAGGGGTCCTTTTTTGGAGTGGTGGGGTATTCTGCAATTACTCCATGATAGACTGACGAGAACTGTGTCTTATTTCTCCTTGGATAGACCCTTTTTGAGTTCCCCCAGGCCTGTTGCAGCACTAGTCTATTCGAATAGAGCCCTACCTTTAATTGATTGGTTCTAGTAGGGGACATTTTTAAACGCTAAGGGATAATGGGAGACTTTGAAATGCTTGATGGCAGCAAACACAACAGTCCTTTTTACCAGTTCAGAGCAAGCGCCTGTTCTGAGCAGGTGTGAACAGTTCTGAGCACATGCAGCTTGATGAAAAAGGACCAGTATGTGTGCCACTGCCAAGCTCTCAAAGTCCCCCATTAAGTTTGAATGGCATGAACTTTGCATCCCATCTTGTGAAATCAAAGTCACAGTGACTATGGAAGCATGACACCAGACACTTCATGGTAAAAACTCTTTTAAGTCCCCCAAATGCTAAGAATGTTTGGTGCTTTGCAGAAAACAGTAGCTTAAACAATGGGAACCAGTTCATGATCCAATATCTATTACATTCGATGAAACTTGGCCTCATTGCCTGTGTTTTAACATTTAGAGAATGTTTACATTAAAATATTATTGCTTTTGATCACCAGAATAATTACCTGATTTATTCAATCATACAAGAGAATAACTAGTCTTCCAAATTGTTCTCCTAAATGTTGAACCTGAAGCATGCTCAGCTGAGAGGATTTCAAAGGTTATTGTACCCCAGTACTTCTAATTATACTTCAAATGCGGTGTAATATGTGCTTGTAGATGCACATACCTTTTTTTTCCGAGTCCATGCACATTCGCAGCCTGTCTTATTTGCAGATATTTCATGAAAGGAGGGCCGGTTTATACAGTCAGACTTTGATCTAGTGGCTGCAACCACTTGGGCACAGGATGTGGGGTGCTGAGGCCTTGTGGCGCTTTTCCAAGTACTTAATTGCGGCTGAAATTGCTGCCTTTGGAGGAGCGTATTATGTGTGGCACAAAATGAACATCAGCCAAGGTAACTCTGTACTAAAACCACTGTCGCTATACGTCATGATTCGGGGCAAGCTTTTGCTTAGTTACATAAGAGACGCCTTGCAACAATATACTGTTCTCAATGGATAAAAAAGGCACAAAGGAACCAGTTCGTTCCAGAGATGGTGGTCGCTATGCAAAAACTTGCCCTGAATCACAAGGTATAGCAATAGTGTCTTTAGTCTGGGAAATTCAAATCGTTATGTTTATGTGCAGTCAGCTAACTCAGTGTACCAGATTTTCTGCAAATGGCTTATTCCCACAGCATTCACTGGCTCAATTTTGCCTTTGTGAACTGATCAGAATGGAATGTTGTGAGGAGGGGGCATATGTCTTTTTCCCCCCGAATGGGATCTGACAGTTTTGAAAGAGGGCACCCTCTGTGCTTATGCATTATTCATAACTCTGTCCAAGGCTTTAAAGAGTAGTTATGTAATAAGGAATAAGCATGTAAAAATCACCGTTGCTCAGCAATTGTTATGTGGACGGAAGTAGTCCCGATATGTAATCTCATGGTCCGAGGTTGTAATACACTCTGTTGTTTTTACTTCTCCTTTTCAATCTTGTATATAGCAAGTGAGGAATGAACATCCTTGTGCCTCTAAAAGCCCAAATTTGGTTTGTGTGGTCAAGAACAGTGCACTAATATGCATGTGATTGACCAATCACAGGATGAGAAACTACAACCGTTTGGGAAAAAAGTACCCGGGAGGGGAAGGTTCATCAATTCAGGATCCGCTGTCACTTAAATGCCTTTATCACGCTCTTGTTTTGGCTTAAATGCAGATTACAGAAAACACATGCATGAGAATCACCCCTATGTTCTTGAACGTAAGTATTGAATATAATAGCCCATTCTTTTCCCTCATCAGCTTCCACCTGTGTACTTTAACCTTAATATCCCAATAAATCTAATGTGAAATAAATTTTGCCAGATCGAGTAGATCCCTGGCACCTTAACTGAGCATGGGGGTTGATTCTCTTGAAATATGAAAGTTAAAGTACTGAGCATTGGTAATTCATTAAGAGCCAACCAATTTTTCTTCCATTTTTTGGGGCACACAAAACCTACTCATTCCATTTGAAGCACCCCCCTCCCTGCAGAGTCTAATAACTAAAATGGAAGAAAGGATGATATCTTTGCAGGGTATTGTCAATATGTTTTACACATTTGAAAAGTGTAATTGGCTTCCCCCTGCATGCAGTTTGTACACTGAAATGAAAATTATGGCATTTTGAAGAAGCTCGAAAACAAAAGCTCACTGTAAATCACACACCTGAAGCAGCATTGGGATAAATGTCATGAAATGTAATTAAAAGAAAAGTTCATGTTTAGAGGTGGGAGGAGACACCGATGTAGATTGAATGGAACCTACAGATGGAGAGATATGAAAATCTTTACCCCTTGTTCACCAAGTGATGGCCTGTTATTGATACCATCCAGGCAAGAAGGTGGTCAGGATAAAGTCTGTACAAAACTTAGTTCATTGTTATCTTTCCCCAAGTTTCCATTCTCAATAAGAAACCTCTGTTGCTGAGAGCTGCAAGCCTGACACTCAGGCTGTCAATTTTCTTTTTTCCTCAGATGACGAAGCAGAGTTCTAATTTTTCTAACAACATTATCCCCTGGTTTGTGCATTTGCAGTTTTCTACCGGACGGCAGAAATGGCACAGATTAAAGATGCCAGACCAAATGACTACAGGGCTTGGGGCATTCTCGGAAATGCGGACATAGATACTAACACAAAATCATCATGACGATAGAGATTAACTGCTATTCACTCATGTTTTGTATTTTCAGTGAGTGGTAGTGTTGTATATGATTACTTTTGAGAAAATTAAATTTTGTTCTAAATTTTCACATATTTAGAAGTTATGATAACTGCTAATTTCTGTATTTAGTTGGATGTAGTGTTTGATACATGTCTCTAATTTAAACACTACAACATGAAAGTTCTGTTTGAGTTTCTGGTATCCTCAAGCTGTTAATGATGTTGCATTTTGCAGGGATTCTGGCCGTTAGTGTTTGAGATTCTTCACACATCCAAGCCCTATCAACCTTTATCTCGAGCAGAACATTTTAGTGCTACAAATGTAGTGCATTCTGTGCATTCTACTAAAATGCCACGAACTTTAAAATATATGTATAAGTTTGATCAAAACTTGTGGAATGTTTTAACTGCTTTAACTGTATGTGGAAAACATGCCTCTAATACCATACATGTATTAATTTTTATAAGTGTACAAACCTGACTCAAATAAAATGATGTACATGTCACTACAGTCTTTGTTCCTTTAATTTTATGGTTTTTGTCTCAGACCCAAGTTTGAAATCTAGGCACATGATCGCTGCACTCTCAATGGATGCTAAACGTCTGGACGGAAGCCTCTAGTTTTTAAAATAACTGACTTTATAACAGCAAAAAGCTAGCGTCCGCTGTGCACTCAAGCATTCATGGATTACTATAAACTTTGAAAGATCTCTGATAGTCCCGTCAGATAAAATCTTGTAGGGCATGTCATTTTTATCGTCCCGCATTTCTTTTAATTAGTTTATGGTAAGCAATTTCCCCCCTTTTTCTGTGGTATGATCTTTCATGGCTATACGGTAGCACATTTTATGCAACTTGGAAAATGCCAGCAGTATCTTTCCGATGCATAAAACTATTCGCCACTGATCACTCAAAAAGATCCACCACTGGTCACTTAAATAACCATTGACTAAACTTATTGCGTGTCCTCGTCGTCACGAGACAAATATGAAGTTAATCGTACATAAGGTAAGACGGAAAAAAATCGAAATGTGTGGAAAACCTACATTCCATACCGAAATACTCTCGTTATACCAGAAAACTTGAAATCTTATTAAGATAATTAAGTGCTATTGAAATAAGAGTGAAATAGTGATGATAAATTGGACGTGATGTTAGGGATATCTCTTGTTCTTTTAAAGGCTATGCATTCCAACGTTATTCTTCGATCCATAATTTGCGCTGCATAGTGGGCGTGCTTGAGGAATTAAGCGAATGAGAGGTGCAAACGCCATCTTTAAACTATCTCAATGTTATCTATAGGCTAGAAGCACACGCTTTCAGTTAATACACTGGACAGCAAAAGAAACTTGCCACTTCTGTCAAAGGCCACACACAAAAATTAACTCCATAGAAATTAGAAATGCACACCAACTTGGTTACTGAATCCAAAAACACAAAAGCACTCTCTACCAAACAAAAATGACCTATGAATGGACAACATTTTAAACAACCAATGACAAAGTGAACACCTGTTTTGTCCAAATGATGTGCACGAGTGGTTTCTGTATAGGGATGCCATCCTTACTGACTATGCATACACATAATAGAAAAGTAATGATTGTGACTACTTTATTTTGTCCTGTGACAATGATTTCTGCGTAAAATCTAAGGCTCATTTTGTTACGTTCTGAGACTTATGATTCAGTAACCAAGTTGCTGTGCATGTCAATTTCTTCTTTGTTATAAAGATAATCACTTGCTTTTGTGCATGTGATTAGTAAGGGGGAATTTTTATGTGTGGCCTTTGACAGAAGTGGCAAGTTACTTTTGCTGTCCAGTTTACATTTCAAATGGAAGTGGTTTGTGGCGTTAGTCCCCCTTCAGAAAGGCTTAGGTCTTTTAGACTGGTGACGAGTTGACCATTAAGCCTATCGCCAACGATACAGGGTAAAAAACCCACATCCAATAAGGGGAGGGAGAACTATGACTGCCATTGCTGGTTGTTTGACGGTGAGGATGTGGCGTCGTCATTTCGGCCATGTCTTTGGGATATTCGAAGATGCCCACGACAGCGTAGTGATCGGACAGATCAGTGATGGTCTTCGTCTTCCTGCAGTCGGGGGAGTGGGGGTACTTGAAGATCAGGTGAAAGCCTCGGCAAACTAGGAGGGGTTTGTCGCTCCGCGGACGGAGTACCTTGGAAGTGGCCGTGAGAGGCTGTTCGTGGCCATTGCTGGTGAGAATGTAGTCCAGGTACTCGGCCTCCTTGTCGATAGGATCGAGATTGTCATTATTCTGGTGGTCGTAGGTCACTACGAGAGAACCACTGAGTGGAGGCTTGGTGGCGTTCAGGGCAGCTATTATAGCCCGTGCGTTTTCGGTCTTATTGATGAAGTCCCCGTTGAGATCTCCGGTGTATATCACCGGCTCACCAAGAGGAATCGACACGCTCTGCATAAAGCTGAAGACCTCGCCTGCCTGGAGGACTCTAATACCTGGAGATTGCGGCTGCTCACTGGATTGCAGATGGGTGCCGAATATGTGGAAATCTTTAGTGACCCCGTCGACGGTCTTACGGACTAGTGCATACATAGCCCCTTTGGCAGAGAGTGCATCTGAAGTGGTGCTGTCGTAATTTTCGAACACCATCTGCTCTTCCTTGACGATCGGCCAACGCGACGCGACGAAAACGCCCCCATTTTCCGCAGTGGAGTTGCGCTTGGCTTGAACTCCTCCCTGAGGCAGAAAAGCCAGTGAGTCGCCGACTGTACGCGTGGAGTACACAAAACCGAACTCCCTTAGGATGTCCCGCAACTTCAGAGAGTTGTTGCCGTTGACTATGCAGCCTCCCATGAACGTCTCCTGGAGGACGACGACGTCCACCTCTGGGTGCATCTCGAAGAGCTTTGCAGGAATGCGGCAGGTGCGCTCTCGCTGACCGGTCAGGGATACAAGGTATGTCAACTCCCAGATATTGTAGGTGATCAATTTCAAGGTGGTGACGGGAAGGGGCTTCGGTAGGGGCGGTACTGGAGGAAGAACACACATGACCTGGGTGCCTCCGAGACAAGAGTGGTCTTCTTCAGTGATGTTGACGGTACAAACATAATCCAATCCAAAATGATGACAGTATGATACGTTGGCTTGGCAATCTGGTGCATCGTCTGCATGGTTTCATTGAAAAAAGTTAGAAAACAGTTGGTGAAAATAGCTCAACAATAACTTGAAGGCCTCTTCGAGACCAGACGAGGATTTATATAGAATTTAAAAAGTAGTGGATTATAGCTGTTTGAGGTGCCACTAGAGCATAAGAGCGTTCTTTCACTCCATTTTATTTTGTTTCTGGTGATGACACCAAGTATTCCTCAAAAGCACCTTAGGCAAGCCTGAAGAAACATTGAAAGAGTAGACAATGAGAAGTAGTACCAGGTTCAGAGGTGGGAGGAAAGCCCCAGAGGAATATTCTGGGTAAAACACACGAAATCAGGTAGGGGACTGAAAACCCAATCAACTTGAGGACCGAGCCGGTGTTCGAATCCGGACCACAAAGGTGGAAGGCGAGGGGAAAAAAAGCCAACCCAACCTTACTCTATGCTTTAACCGTTTATGGGGATAGTCTTCAGGAAAGTGTGTAACCGTGTGTTTCGTGTATGTAAATGGTTGGGGAACAAAAAGGTAGACGCGATCCATCGGATCCACACGGTACACGTGCATGTATTCGCGTGACGACGTCGATTGCCTTGTCCTTAACTTGGGAATAGTCGAATCTAAACTCAGCCACTTATATCACTTGTCTTTCACTAGAGTTAAAAAGAAAGACTCGGTTGAACTCCATGGACAAAACGAGGCTATCTGACGACTTGTCATCAACTCTAACGGAAAGCTCGGCGGTGAGGTCGGGGTGGACAAAATGGATTTTTGTCCAAAAACGATTGTCCTTTTTGTCCCTATCCACACTGCAGTTGCTAGGATGTTGGCGCTTTCAATTCCTAAAAGAGAACATAGCACTGTGTTTTCCTGCCGTCCGCTGGTTAGGCCTACGCCACTGGCTCGAAAGAGGCGTATTAATGTGCATTTGATTGAAGCGGGGTAACCGTTAGTCCATTTGTGTGTTTTTACTTACCGATCCAAACGGTTGGTCCTTTAGTTTCTGGACATTCGGCATATTCTAGAGAATGATAAAAAAAGACGGAGATAGCTAAGTCTGTCAGTAATCCCTCACAGGTTGGGAGGATTGTGTCATAAGATTCTAAAATTCCTTCATTCTTGAAACCAAACAAGTTTTTCTCTACCTCGATCACAATATTGGCTTAATTTTCTGCAGCTTTTGTAAGGTTAATGTTCATACTGACAACTCCCAAAACGATGCCCAAATTGAATGTCTTACCGTCACTCAACGCTGATCCACACTGGATGAAAACTAACAGAATTGCGATCGTCTTTATTAGGCGGTTGACCATTTTGTTTTTAACCGCTTACTACTACGGTTATGGCAACTATGATACACTCCGTGTTGAGGATTCTGCACAGAAAGATACTAACCCACTCGGGGGATGATAGGTGAGATAGTGGGCTTGGTAAAGTTGTAGCTAGGCCAAACGAGGTGTCGTCAGGAGGCCAATACAGCCATGAATATGTAACTAATTTAAGAATTTGATAACTAGAAGAATAATCTTTGTGACGCCATGCTCAAATATTTACTTTTGAGGTCTCTTTTCACGGGTGATATCGGTCACAAAGTTCTGTAGAGTTCGTTGCTGCCAACTGGCCGGCTCACGTGATAAATCCGAACTCTCGGAATGTTTTTGTATACACCGGGTAGGTGGTATAGTCTATAGGATTACCATGCCTCCGGACCCCGCAGATGGCTGTACCCCTCGCCCCACCGTGACAGGGTTCCCTGTCTGAGTTCTTGAATGGCACAAAGTACATATTATCTGTTATTTCAGTTGCTTTCAGTACCTCCTTAAAAATGTGAAACCCCAGGTGCACTGGCCCGATCTGGAACCAGTTTCGGCCGGGGAATGGAGGGGGCAACATTGTTTTGAGGACCAAAACTTAGCATGGCCTTTCTGGGGGTGGGGTCTACATTTCGGCGATTTTTACAGGCCTTTGGAAGGAAAGTCTGGGAATAAAACTTTCTCTGATAACGGGGGGGGGGGGTATTCCCCTGGATTTGTCCTTGCCCAAGTGCCCCCGTCACAAGTTCAGCCCGTCAGTTGAAAAGCCTTTGGCCACGAAGGTAGGAACGTGTATGAATAGGCCTATATTTTTCAAGTCTGTGTTGACGAGATCCTTTTTTATTCAAAGTACATTTTATGAGATCAATCCCCCGAAGCTCGTTATGCAGTTGGTGTTGAAATTACTGCTGATATTGGTCCGTGACAACTTACAATTATGAACTTAATGAAGAAAAGACTGACTTCAAATAAAATTAAAAACAATTGGCACATGGCTGGGCAAGCTTATAAATTATACGCTTTGAAGTATATACAACTAACTTTGAAAAAACTCCTGAACCCGTCGATCCGGTTAGCCTGGTTTCCTATTCGGTGGTCTAGTTCCCAGTCGTGTTCATCACCCCACGCCACATGCACACTTGTGCTTCACGCGTGGTTTGCGTGTAACTTACATGTACACACGCTGCGGCATTGCGAGTAAAGTGAGGCATGCGACTCCGAAAGGTTGTGCAGAATGTATGCAGTAAAGAGGTACATTATTATCTCGCAACAACGTCAATACACAGAGTAAGAACTAAGAAATCTGCATCAGAATATCCTATGGAATTGTTGAGTGTTGCAGTGTTACCTTGGTTGGAAATCCAATTCACTTCGAACCGAACTTTATTTTGAACTTAGCCCATGCTAAAGACGTTTCATGTTTCCGATGTCCGGAGATGTTCTCACGCCCTAACGTCATTAGACCACGAACCCTATATCGATACATACAGTCCACGGTCACATGACAGTCATGCTTCGACAGACACTGTGCGTGTGTCGACAGATTCCGGCTTCACTGAGAAGAACTGTTCCTCACTTTTGTGTGCGCTTGGTAAGCGAGGTCTGCCAATTACCCCCAGGACCATGTGGGGTTCGACATCCACCACGCTGGGCGTCAAACCCCACAGTTCTGGTGGTACCTGCCAAGTACTTCAGCTTTACTCATTCTCATCCCGGTCATTACCCCCAGAACTGCTGGGCGATGGGCGTCAAACCCCACAGTTCTGGTGGTACCTGCCAAGTACTTCAGCCTTACTCATTCTCATCCCAGTCATTACCCCCAGAACTGCTGGGCGATGGGCGTCAAACCCCACAGTTCCGGGGGTAGCCAATAATGGCATTGAGTGATTCTTGAATTTCAGGAGTTAATGTTACAGGCATTCAGTGGCGTAAATTTGCACTGAAACTTTGGGGGTGGAGAATCCTATAATTTATGGGAGGGATGACCTGTCCAGCCTTGGAATTTGAAAAAGGGGAGGGGGTTGTGATGCTGACACCATATGACACTGGGGGGCAGTGTTTATGATACAGATGTACATAACATCTGTAGTAAGAATTACATTCCAGCAGAACTTGGACACTGTGAATGGCCTTCGTTAACATTTAGACATGGTCGGGCGGTAGTACAGTCCAAGTACCCTTTTTAGGCTTTTCCTTCCATTGATTGATTTCATTTGAAATGACTCACACTGTTGACCGACCATGTCCAAATGTTAAAAAAGTTGATTTGTTGAGTCCAAGTTACTTAGACTACATCAGAACGGCATATTTATGACTGAATAACTTTCCCTTATGAGTACTCTTAAATTCATTTTGGTTGTTAGGAAGTCGGAATGTGTGCATGGAAGTAGTTACTTCCAACGGAGCCTCCGTTGTAGCAAAGTGCGCCCTCTCTTGGTCCAGCTTGGGGCCCATAGTGATATGACAGAAACTCGATCAATGTAACCAAGGTTCCATTTCATAGATCTTGAGTTTTTGTATTCTTATTTTTTTTGTATTACATACTTTTGATTTCAAAACAAGATACAGAATTCAGCAGTTGACCGCACAAATGTAATCCAAGTGCCAAAGAGAATTAGTCATCAAATAGACAAACTTCAGAAAAGCCGGGGTCCCATCAAGTGGCGAGGCCGCCTTTTTAATGCCTATCCCGGCAAAGAACTGATCTCGGCTAAGAGGAAGGAGTTCAACTACTACCAGAACCAGACATACGATAAGTTTAAGCCCTCCAAGCTTGCGAGTGATGGCTGGAAGCACAAACGTTCCTGTGGGGATCATTTCACCATCTTAGCCTTCCGAGGGGTGAGTAGAGATGGGAATTTGGCTTTGGCATTGCTAGGGATGAATACAAGAAGAAAGATCTTTTGCTGAAAGGAAAACATTTTTGTGGCCATGTTCGAAATAAGACATTTCTCCGTTTTAGGGCTGTGCTTTATGTCTGAATATCTGATTGTTCAATCAATTATTGAATATTTGAATACTGTTTCTGCATACGAATATTTGAATGCAAAATAACAAAAAATGAAGGAAGAATTTTCTTGTTTGAAATGAGAAAACTGCACAATGGAGGCTTGTTTTAAGCAGATTGAAGTGAAAAGCAACAGAATAATACTTCCTACTATTCAAAAAGTAAATTCATTTAAAAAATTCAAAAGGAATGGAAACTTTCAACAGGGCAAGAAGTATCGTTCTTCTCTTCAGTCTTGCTTAATCGTGGCTGGAGATAGTCCTAGATGTGAGAAGCTGTTAAAGTGAAAGTGATGTACAGTTGAGTGCATTCTTGCAACTGATTTTGTAAATGGTGTGTCGGTGTGGCCGAATATTCGAATGTTCGATTGGATTGAAGGTCAAATATTTAAATAGTGAATTATTCGAATTGACTCCTCCCTACCCAGTTTCTTTGTTCATCTTTACAATCATTTAGAAGCACCTAGTCAGTTTCCCTGTATTGTTTGTATCATGGTTGGTTGGACACAGAACCATCCAATGCAACTCTCAAGGCAATTTTTCTAGCAACCGTCCTGAATCCTTTAAAATTTACCTCCGTGCTAGAAACCAGGGCCACATTCTTGTTTTCTTTCAATCTAAGGGGTGGTAAGCCTCTTTCAATTGTTGCTTGGCTCGGCTTAACCCTTCTCCATCATCAAGAGGTGCCTCCAAGCCATCAGTCAGAAATTCAAACTGAGAAATATTTCTTGGCAATTTTAAGTGATCTTTTCACTGTACACAGCCAGTTTGTCCATGTGGAATTCATGTGTTTTGATTTTTGAATTTGCAGATGACATTATCATGTTTCTTTGTTTCATTTCAAACTTAGAACCCATCTCTGCAGGACAAAGAGGATGACACAGGCACACCCTCAAATTTTGCTGCTTTTAACCTGAATGAGAAACTTTTAAATGCCTTGGAGACTATGGACATTGAATCACCAACTAAAATTCAGGTAAATCCAAATAGAAAGTTTTTTAAGTGAAAGGGTAGCGTGAGGACGTTTAAGGTGATATGTTCCCAACTACCAAGTACAATTGCGTACTAAGAAAATGGTGTGATATGTATATCTAGTCCAGAAGAGAAACAACTTTGCATTAGGGGGTCATTGAAGTGCTTAGATTGGTCAGTTTAAAACTCCAGATTCTGTGGAAGATTTTTACTTTCAGTGCTATCTCTGCCATAGGCGATAATGTTTGCCGAAAGTAGCAAATAGGTACCTTGGCTAATATTTGAAAAGGTTTGGTCTGGTGAACAGATTCAAGCTCCAGGAATGCAGAAGGTTTAAGGAAATATTTTTGGATTTCATAGCCAGGGGTAATAATGGAGCAGCTTGAGTTTGATATTCATACAAATTGTTCAGGAATTATTCCTGTGGCCCTTTTGTAATCCACCTCCCTAGCTCCTACCGAAGTCACCACTGCGCAGAAACCCAGCGACGAAATCTTTCTTTTTAAAAGTTTCATAGAACATCAAACTCATTGTAAAGTAATAATGACTAGGCGCAATCTTGCCCAGTTCTCCAAAGCCTCCTGTTGGAATTTCTAGGATCTGTGAGGGTTAAGGTTGAAACATTGTTCTCTGAAATTGCAGTCGGCTGCTATCCCATCCATTTTGAGAAGCAGGAACGTCCTGTGTGCTGCAGAAACCGGAAGCGGCAAGACCCTAGCTTACCTCCTGCCCATCCTGCACCTGTTGCTGTGGGAGATGGCCACACATGGCCGAGTTACTCAAGCTGGCCGGCCCAGGTGTCTTGTGTTGGTGCCTGCCTGGGAGCTTGCTCAACAAATAAAGGTATTGGACCTCTTTGAGTTGCCCTGTATTTTTCCTTGATGTACCTTGCCTAGATAATGTTACCCAAAATAACGGAATGAGTTGCAAGTTGCTAGAGCCATCTACATTTTAGAGGTCTTAAAAGAGGTCTTAACATTTTCCATCATAATGTCAGCTTTCATCAGCTCAGCTCAGTTTGCTCTTTTCATTGCTAACAAAAAGATGTTACAGAAAAAAAATAGCCTGGATACTAATTTTGTGGAAGCTGGTCACAATTAGGCCATATAATCACTGTGTATTGAAAGGCCCTCAATACGAATGGAGCATTTGTCAATATGGGTGATTCACAATAGTGCGCCTCCAAGAGATTTCAATTGCATATTTGACCAACTGTGTCCATCAAGCTGGAGAAGGAAATCAGTAACAAGCTGTGTTTGAGTACAGTTTTGGTATTCACCTGTAGAACATTTCTAGTAGGTGAAAAAAAAATCAACCAGAGTTGTGGATTTTTTTCATTGCTGCATGCCACAGGTCACAAGTTAGAAGGAACTTTTCTGGTTATTTCAGTCTTGGGATGATGAGTTCCGTATGGGTGTCCATTTGTGGTTATTTTGTTACAACTGGCTTGTACTCTGTAAATTGTGACATAAATGTCAACTTAGGCTGTAAGACCAATTATGCACTGATCAGTATCTATACCCATTACCACCAGGGCTGTTGTGTAGTGGAGTCCCTCACTCCCTCAGTTATACATTTTTTTCACAGATCCAGTCACAAGCTTAGAAGTGGCAGGAGGTGCTGTGACTGAGTATTGAATGCTTTTGTTACAGTTCATTTGAACAGCTGTTGATTTGGCTTAAGACTGGATGACTTTTGATGGACTTGAAGCAATGAGCCAGTCTGGTATTTCCAATGAGCAAGGTCATTGGGAAACGAAGCACTGTTGTGAGTCTGAGTAAGGCCACACTGGCTTCATTTTGGGCATGCGATGTCGGAATACTAAATTGGCTCATTGCAAATAGTACCTTAACCACTTCCTGCCGCGGAGCCCAGTTTTGGGCACATAGGCTTTATACACGAAACTGGGGAACAAAAGACCGCACTTGGAACAAAAGACCTAACTGCTGGGAATTGCTAACATTTTTTCAGTTGTCAATAGAGGAGGAAATCTGTCATTGTTTTGAAAGATTGTACCACTGTTTGTGGCCTTCAGTGCGAGCGGATTACCACCGGGGACAAAAGCGCTGTATGTTGCATGTTAATCTGGCCCCTATTGAACAGATGCCAGCCGCGCACTGTGCCATTTTCGGGAACAAAACAAACTTGTGTAACATCGCTTAATCTGGGCTTTTTTTGCGGTAAGCCTGGCTGAAATACTTGAGCATCAATAGATGTTGTCTGTTAGATTAGAGGAGACACCAGACTGTCATTCATGTGGGTGTAAACGTCCAGTAGATGAAGGACTATGATTTTTTAAAGAATTTTGAAAATGAAAAATCTTGAAAATCTCCCAGTTTTACGTCATGCAACTTCAAATTACACCCAGCAGCAAGTGGTTAAGCTCAGCTTTGAAACTACGGGATATATGTTGAATTCTGTTTTTGTTTTTTTTTTGCCTGTAGTTCGTTGCAGCATCCCTGTTGAAAGAGACGTGTATGGTAGCAAGGCATCTCGACGGCAGCAAGTCAACCAAGTCTTTGAGACATTCCTTTCTCACTCCAGCTGATGTCATCGTTAGCACGCCCGGCTCCATCCTGAATAGCCTCCGACAAAGTAGATAGCTCTGTCTTTGTAGGACTAAAATTGTCTGTATATTTGTTTTCTGAGGAATTGTGAGGAAAGGCTGGCAGGTGTCTGCACTAACAGGATCCAAACTTACTTTATTTTGTTTACCTCCCAGCCTCTGGGGGTGTTATGGTATATTCATATTTATGATAGCTTGCACTGCTACATAAAACTACAAATTACTACTTGTAGTAAAATGTCGTAATCAGCACTGTCGCTTGTAAGAGGACATGACCTTATTGTTCTCTGAAGCCATAAAATACAATAGATAAGACAATGTACCATACAGTGCTGTGGCACTATGAATGCATGGCTTTGTTATCCTCTGTATGAGTAACAATGGAAGTAACCTAGCCAGAAATAGTAATTTGTAGTGCTAGGTCCTTTAGGCTCAGGCTATTACTTAGTATTTTGTAGTACTGAGTACTGTAAGCCAAACAATATGCTTGGTGGTTAGGGTTAATGTTCACACTGCCATCACTACTGCATCAAAAATCATGATGTGGAAATCTGTGCTGCCATACATACTTTGTGATGAGCCAAACCAGACATAATTCAGACCCTAAAGAATAGAGTTTAATGAAACCACATTTGGCTCAGAAGTTTATGGTCGAGGTGTAGGTTCTTACTGTTTCTATCCTTGATTTCCTTGGAAATTCATCCACCGTGTTATTCTCCTTTTAAAGAATTCATGACGTTAGAAGACACAACCCACGTAGTCATCGATGAATGTGACACCATGTTGGATGACAGTTTTTGCAGTAGTCTGCTCAACATTCTGAGGAGAATGCATGTGAGTTCCTGGAATGCACAAATAACACAAGATTTATCCCATGATGCATTTAAAAAAGGAAATAATTGCATAAATTAATGGGCAAATATTGAACAAAAATTTGATCGAATGTCTGAATATTTGGTCTTACTGACCGGGAGATTGTTGATTAAACCATATACAAAATCAGTTGCAATAACGCACACCGTTGTACATTATAATCACTATAATTGTTTCTCAAGTCTACAAGTATCTCCAGCCACAATTTAGCAAGATTTAAAAGACAAATAATACTTCTTTTCTTGTTGAAAGTGTTTTTTCCTTTTTTAATGAATAATATACATTTTGAATTGCTGTAAGGTTTCTGTGGCTTTTCATTTGAATCTACTTTGAACAAGCATCTATACTTCAATTGTTCTCATTTAAAACAAAAGAAAATTCTCCCTCCCTTTGCATGAATTTTTCATTCGAATATTCAAATTCCAAAATAATATTCGAATATTCGATAATCGATCGAATCACTGTATTCGGTTATTCCGATATTTGGCACAGCCTTAATGTCAGATTACAAGGTTATTGAAATTAGCTTTTGGGGACAGCATACACTTCAGGTCAAGTTTGATGCGGTGTGTGGCAAACCACCACAGAAGTGTCATAGGATTAATGATTGAAATAGTAGTTTTGTAATGAATATCCCTTTCTCTAGATAAGCGCTACAGCTCAGTCAAAGAAGAAACCCTTTGCAGAGACACAGCTCGTACTGGCTGGTGCCACCATGCCCAAAAAAGCAGCGGATACTCTGAAGGACATTCTGCCTGTGAGTACTGGTCATGGCGCTGTTTCCGAGTGGCGTCATCCTTGTCCGTCATTCTGACACCATCCTGAGCCTTTCATAATTCACCAAAAGGTCTACTCGGAGAAAATTTCAGGATTTTGGCAGGTAGATCCCAGCCATATGACAATGTGTAGGGCTTGGTGCCCCTTGAAAGATTGATTATGAGAAGTGTGTCCGTTGTTTCCTCTTCAGTTGCTGAGTTTTTCAGGGATAATGAATTTCCTATCAAGGGAGATAAATTTAATATTCATAAATTTTGTACGGACTTGCGCTTAACCACTTGCTGCCGGGTGGTTTGAAAGATGCAGTGCACATAATTGGGACATTTTCAAGATTTTCAGTTTTCAAAATTCTTCAAATATTCATCATTTCAATTAATGGATGTTTACACCCACACCAATGACTGTCTGGTGGCTACTCTAATCTGACAGACAAAATCTATTGACACCCGAGTATTTCAGCCAGGCCTGCAGCCTTGGAAAAGGAGCCCAGATTGTGTGGTGTTATGTAATTTTTTTGTTCACGAACCTGCCACAGTGCGCTGCTANCCCTGGTGGTAACCCGCTCGCACTAAATGCCCGGAACCGTGGTATACTGTTTCAAAACAAGGCTGGATTATCTCCACTGTTGAGAGTGAAAAATGTCGGTAATGCCCAGCAGCCTGGTCTTTCGTTTCGAGTAGGGTTTTTTGTTACAAGGCCCAGTTCCCTTTGTCCAATTTCAGAGACTCCGGCCACGCATATAAAGCATACATGTCCGGTACCGGAAAGTGGTTAATTATGGCAGTTAAGTGCTTCAAGCAAATATTAACTCTAAATTGTTGAGCATTAAAGGCAGATAATCAACAGATACGAAATTAGCATACTTTCTACTGACAAAGGTTGACAAAAATTAGTTTTTCATGACAACTGTTATCAGTTTTAACAACCATGAAGCATCTGTTATTCAAGACCCAACCTAAGATTACAGTGGATATAATTTTTGAAATGGTGTCATTTCTTGTAGGAGAGAGCTCTTGAGATTATCGCCACCTCACACTTGCATCGGATCATGCCGCACGTCAGCCAGAAGTTTCTACGTTTACACTCCCAAGACAAAGCAGGTATGATCCTAGGCATTGAGGGTAGGGGCGAGGAATTGAACTCCTACCATTTATGGTTTGTCAGTTTGCAGCTGATGAGTGCTTTGGTTCCCTCCACCCCCCCTCCCCCCACCCCGGGAAAAAATCCTGGCAATAGTATGATGGAGGCAGTTGTCCCCGTGATCTTCACACATTCACAAGTATGTGAACCTCTTGGGCTCAAACAAGAGTGTGTCATTTATAGATGGTTCCAGAATGAGCTTACGAGGTTGCTGGAATTTGGCTGATCAGACGAAATCCACTTCATGCTCAGCATGAAAAAATGAAAGTGAATTTGTGACATTATGCTAAATATTGACGCTTCGGCAAATGATGACCACATTTTAACCTGTGTTAATTTGCCGCAATCTGTTGCATCATATTATGGTTGCATTTGCACTGAGTATGAATTCCAAAATCTAGTTGAAAAATTTGTATTGTCAAGGTATGTGTACCTTGGGTATTTCCTGTCTCTACAGTAATTCCAGAATTTGTCACAAGACCACAGAAATAAAGGAATTGAAATAGAAATGCTCTCATATCCTTCCTTCAGCCACAATTCTTAAAATTGTGACCAAAGACAACAAGCAGAACAAGCCCATCATGATATTTTGCAATGACGTATCCACGTGCAACTGGCTGGCTTGGTTTCTGGAGGAGAGCAACATCAACGTGTTGAGGCTGAACGGGGACATGGATCCGGAGGTATGGTTACAGAGGAAGGTGTATCCCATGCAAATAGTATGTACATGAAGATGCTACAGGTTTTGTGCTCATTCAGGCGAAAACTAGTCATGTGTACTCCACACCATGCACTCTTGAACCATTGCATGTAGGACTATGTTTCTAACACTTAAGGTGTCATGATGGATGCACTGGTTTTAACTTATCTCTGCTGACTTGACTTTTAAGCACAAAAGCTTGCTGGTTGCTGCAGTGATTGGGTTAGTAAAAAACGAATTCACTTCATTAACGTTAAATGTGTTCTTCCCTCCCCCCTCAGAAACGTCTGGGAATAATGCGTTCATTTCAGAAGGGAGTCTGCAGTGTGCTAGTATGCACGGATATCGGCTCAAGGGGCATGGATACAATTCAGGTAGAGAATTCTTATAACTTCTGATGTTATTTTCAGGTGTAATCAAAACAACACAGATGCCTAATATTCAAAGAACACTTTTCCCTGTGTGCCCAGGTACAGCATGTGGTGAACTTTGACTTCCCAAATTTCATGTCGGACTACATACACCGTGTAGGGAGGGTGGGGCGAGTTGGCAGCAGGGGTGGTGATCATGTGACCAGCTTTGTCGTACACAAGTGGGAGGTGGACTTGGTGCAAAAGATTGAGGTAACTTTTTAGGCGATTCATTTTCATGTATGAAGTGTTGAACTATTGGGCAGCCCATTCAGGGGTAAGAGAGATTTTTATGATATTCTGGAAAGTTAGACATTTTCTGTTAAAGTCCTTGGATTTATTTGGTCATTATCCATGAGAATGATCATTAAAATGACATTTGATAGTTTTAAACTGTGCATAATACCATTGATTTACTAGTGGCTTGTTTTAGTAAACAGTTGAGTTTTAAGATTAAGTTTGAGTTGCTTTATTTAATGAGCCGTTTTTTTTACAATATACTGTTTGTCATAATGACAAACATTTTTTACAAAGTAAACTAAACCCATCCGTAAAAGAAAATCATACATATTGTTTACTGTACCGGTATTTATAGACAGCACTGCAGAATACATTTAAAATGTTGACCAGAGACACTCTAATTCAATGGGCATGACATTTATAAAATGATACAAAAATGTGATCACAGCCTCTCCTATACTGTTTCAGAGAGCAGTGAGAAAGCCTGCCTAAAGTGGACGCCAACATCAGTGTCTTAAACTATTATTGTAACCTCAAGTCACAGGTCACTGATCCTCCCTGCAAAGCATTTTGGTCACATAACATATTTGGGGGGAATAAGAACTCTGCCTGAACTTACAGGCAGTTGTGACTTGCCCATCTGTTTCCATCCTTGATCAGTTTTTTAAAACTTGGCTACAACAAACCAGTACTAAGTGTGTTTTAATCACAGTGTGTCTTGTACTGATTTAGAGAGCCGTGAGAATGCGAGAGAGCCTGCCCAAAGTGAACGCTAACATCAAGAACAAGCTGCTGCAGAGACTAATGGACCAGGAGGACAGCAGCATGTTCTCCTGACAGATATCTCTGCGCCATGTTGCCTCCTGACGAATCCACAGTTCCTGAAATGTGACCAGCAGGGTGACCAGATGAAAATGGTTCTGCTAGATGCACGTCAAAAATTCTGCTAGATCTGACAAAAATCTGCGAAATCACCTAAATTAAACAAAAGGCTTCAATGTTTTTGAGGTTCGCATTCAGTGAATTCCTGAAAACCTTTTGAAGGCAGCTGTATGTTTGTTGGAGTGTGCGAAGTAGTTGAAAACATGCACTAGTTTCTCCAGTGATCTAGGCAGGAATTCAGGTACATGGGAAGGCACCATTGCGGCACTATGGCATGAGCATTTCACTGTGGCAATGTTAGCGATCACCAACTTGAGTCTACTCTGTACATTATTATGATCCCCCTGCATTACGTTGCAGGTGTCCACACACCATCCAGTCCAGTAATTCCAGTCCAATCCTTTCTTTGTGATGACCGCTGAAAGGTCACTGAAGAGGGATTCAGTGTCCCCCCCCCGCAACAGCTACAAGACGTGTCTTCATGACAAGTCCATCCAGATATTTTATAATGATGGCGAACTGCTTTCCACCAGAGCGATTGATAACCTGTTTGGGGAAACAAAATTTGTTTAAAATATAAAATCTGCTAAATTTTTCCTGCTAGATCGAAACATTTTTAGAATTCTGCTAGAAATCTGCTAATTTTTCTGTCCAGAGGTTTTTTTTTCCCAAAGAATTGTAAATTTAGTCGAAAATCTGCTGAAATGGTTACCTGGAATGGTCATGTGACTATGAACGAGCCTCTTTGACCAGAATGGTGAGCCTCCTGGGACAGTGCTTGCATGATGTCACAAACATCATCTCAACTCAACTTGTGGAGATATCGAAAAATATCATAACATTCTGTATTTAAAATCTGACCATTGATTGTGGTCTTAATCATTAATAAACATATACTGTCAGTGATAGAACTTGGGGGCCACAGTATTTTGGTTGTATGCCGTTTATATTTGGTTATGATTTGGGGTCTGATATTTTGTAAATATCATTTTGTTATTGCCAGCAACATTGGATATGTGTGTCTGCGCTACGTTAGATTTTATTCTCTCTGCTTAATAAGGCTTGTGTGCTTTCTGCTATATATAGATACATGACACACTTAAGCTGGCATTGCTTGTCCATGTCTGTGTGCCCTAAGGGACTGTGAGTGACAAGAAGACGAACCCTATTTCCTGAGACAGAAGGCCAAAGGATATAGGACGCTCTTTGAGTCACTCACAGGACCAAGGTGAGCATGGACCTGCATGCCAGTCTGTAAGTGTTTTAACACCTCGTCCAAACTGTAAAAAAGAGAAGAAACTTTTCAGGGTTTTATAATAGAACTGTTTTATTCCAACTCATTAGCAATCCAACAAGCAATCCAACAAGCAATCCAACAAGCAATCCAACAAGCAATCCAACAAGCAATCCAACAAACAATCCAACAAAGTTAGGTTGTTCGTTAGGTTGTTCGTTAGGTTGTTCGTTAGGTTGTTCGTTAGGTTGTTCGTTAGGTTGAAGCAATCCAACAAGCAATCCAACAAGCAATCCAACAAGCAATCCAACAAGCAATCCAACAAGCAATCCAACAAGCAATCCAACAAGCAATCCAACAATTACAGGAACAATCTCAGTTTTCCTTGATTCAGTTTTGGAGTTGCTGTTCATTGTTCTTGTTAAGTGTAGGCATTGCAACTGGTCGAAAATTTTGAGTATAGTGGCCAACCTGTCGTTGCAGACAATGTTGCTTGAAATTGCCATTAGTAACGACGCAAACTAACTTGGCATTGTCCAAAATACAAGAAATGTGTTGCTATGTCACTGCATTGACTTTGAACTTACAAGAAATGTGTTGCTATGTCACTGCATTGACTTTGAACTTGTCAGTACCTTCAGTTACAAACAACCAATAACTCATACATAACTGTGCGCTCCGGCTATTGTGAATTCTGTACACCTGTGCACTCTCTGAGCTTTTCAAGTACAGATATATAACAGCAGGAAATTTGATGGATGGCCTTCAAAAGGATGTGGAAAGGCCAGATGGCGGGGGAGGGAAAAGAATTGGTTGGGATGAGAGAAAAGAATGGGAATTCATATCACATTGACCCGATTGGTATTTTCAAACTATTATTTTTTTTTAATAGCAGTTGCATTTTACAAAACATTCTACTCACAGATGTCATTCTCATTGAAATATACACAAGTTTTTGTCTATATGTGTGTCAGTTATTTTTGCTTGTCCCTGTGTTTCAGTGTTTTAAACATTTATCTGACATAATTTGGGCTGACTGATGCTGTTAAAAGGTTGTTTGTGAAACGTTAACACTGGAGGGCAGACGACCAGAGAAAGAGATGCCTGCAATATTTGTGCAACATCAAAAACCTGACAACCTGAGCCAGCCAACAACCTGCTTTACAAACACCCGAACTTTGAGGATTCAAGAATACTGGATTAGATATTAATATAACGATTTCCTTTAATTCTATGAGGTTAATTCACTTCCACTGGTAAGGCCAAAAGTGTGTATTGAATGCCTAAGTTTGCCTCCCTTCCAAAAGTGCCCCACTCTTTGGTGGTCTAAGTTTCAGTGAACTTCGCTTCTGAATTTGAAACCAAATTGACCATAGACCAAGGGCATCACTGGGGATGCCAAACATTTATTTTTTGAGGGAATGTTTTTATGTGACACCTTTTTAAAAATTATTTCTTCTGATAAAGATTATAAAGAACATACATGAATTTAGACACACGAAAAACACCGGTTAAAATATTAAAAACAACCGATGAAACAAAAGTCATGTTTTAAAATTTGTATTTATTTATATCATTAATATGACTTGGGGGGGAGCAATTTCATAGAGCTGCTTAAGCACAGAATTTGCTTAAGCACAAAAACCTTGCCTTAAAAGCTGTGATTGTCATGCTAACAAAGATAGCTAAATACCATTCCTAAACTATACATTACAAGATGTTCTGGCTGGTAATTTGATTTGTCAAGCAAGTGTTTTTTTTTCACGCGTACACAAAGTTTTCGCTTAAGCAACACTACGAAACTGGCTGCTTGTGCTGGGTCAATCGTAAAGTCAGGGGAGTCGGGTCGGCGTAGTGGTTCTTTCCTTGCCTTCCACCTCTGCGGCCCGGGTTCGAATCCCGGCCCGGTCCACGTGTGGATTGGATTTTCAGTCCCTACCAGATTCCGTGGGTTTTACCCAGAATATTGGGGTTTTCCTCCCACCTCTAAAACTGTAACTGCTCCTCACTGTCTCCTCTCTAAAAGTTTCTTCAGACTTTCGAGCTACAGTGCCTAGGGCGCTTTTGAAGAATCCTTGGTGTCATTACCAGAAATGTATAATAAAACTTAAAGAAAAGTTACAGCGCACACGTGGCTGACACTGAGTGGCGCGCCATCACGGTTCGCGGAAGTCAGCTGTTAATGCGGTGACGTCAGCATGCTTCATCGTTGTAGTCCGATCGACCGGCTGTGTGTTTACATGTATCAACAGAGAGTGCGGGAAAGAAAGAACCTTTTTGTCTGATATTTACATTATTTCTGATCTTCTGTACTCCAGTCTTCTGAGGGTATTGTAGGTGAGTATTTAGGAAATCGTTTGGGAGTTTTGATGTTAATTTTGGGCGAATTTGAGTCGAATGGAAGGCTTCTATGTTGGCAATGAATTTTTCACTTCGTTCAATCACTTTCTCACATGATACCCCGTTACCTGTGTTACCTCATATGTAGGCCCGAGTTGTTTGTTGATTCAGGTGCTACATACATGTACATTACATTGTACATCTTGTGAAACCTAGCGCCAAATTCCGAAATTTCTCCCCAACATGCCCAAACTATTAGTTATTGCTTGTTTCCCGAATTAATATCTTCATAAGGAATAGTTAGCCTATAGAAATGTTGGTCATGTTGGGAAATCCCAGACCGGTGCTCTTTATTTTGTGCAGAATTCCCCAGTGACATAATTAAGCATTGCTTGATAGATGGGATTTCCCAAACCATCAAACAGGTAGACCTACTTTCTCTTTGTTAATGCTGAAGCATTAAACGTATTCCCATTAGATACAATGTGTGAACCCTCCTTCCTTGCTCAAATCGCCCTCTAACATCCACGACAGTATAGTCGCCACTTACTGCAAAAATCAGTGAGACTTGACAATAGGTGACAAAATTAGGAACCTCGCGACTACATGTATATGGTCCCAGACATGAGCTTAAATGAGACAGATGTTTACATTGATAATAAAAATCTCGGGAAAAAATGAAGGCTAGCAGCACCAGCAGCCGAAACGTTGCTACCAGCAACACGACACCGCGAGTCATCGATTATCTTTTTTCTGTATTTGTCATCCGCCGCGTTGATTATGTTTATCTCTTCTAATAAAAATCTCTACAAGTAAAGTAACATCCAGTGACAAACACAAAGGAATCTGTGCTTGCATGTAGTGAGTTTCCATCAGAGGACCGTCATTGTTACAAACATGCCCTGTCTTGTTCCCATGCTGAGCAGTTATGGTGCATAAGTTAAAAGTTGCCTTCCTGTAAAGATACTTTGGCAGCTTAATAGGCATTTTCATTGAGCCGAAGATATCAGGTTTGATTGTCTACGATTTTAGAGAGCAGGGGTCGAAATTAACTTGAATTTCATGCTGGCCAGCAGGACCACCATTTAGAGAATCCTATTGGTCCTGCTGAAAATTTGATGGTCCTTGGTTCTTATCAAACCGTGGTGTAAAACTGCAATCTATTTCTTCCTGACATTTTTCCCTAAAACGGATTAATTGATCAACGCTTCCAACTACCTTCATCTAATTTTAGTTGAATTAAATACGTGCCACACTTTCTATAAAAAAGATACGTTTCCATTGCCTCCCTCACACAATGAATTGAAGTTCATGTATTTATATCTAAAATTGAGAAAAAGGGTTTCAGCGCGTCAAAAAAAATAACCAAAACCATTTAGCGCGGCGCAGTACAGCCACAGATTGGTCCTTCTAGTTACCGTCTGAAATGACACACGGGTACCAGTTCGGGCTGGTTACACCACAGCTGTACGAACGTAAACTATGCATGTGTGATTGATCGATCGACCGAGTGCGGATACAGTCCTTGTACATATACATGTACATGCAGCTTCCTCTGCATACTTGGTGTACACGTACATTATGTATTGGGCAACTGTACGTTTGTGGTTTGAAAAATCTCCATGTATACATCACGTGCGTTGTGTGTTGTTGCCAACTGGGAAACTATTTTCAGTGATGGCAAGTACAGTGACTATAAGCCACGTAGTTTCGAGAGAATAAAAAAAACAGTGTGACATGGAATTTATTTACTAAGACCATTCATTTGCACTGGCCCCGCGGACCAGCAGGTTTGGTGGATTTGGTGGTCCTGATGATTTTTTTACTGACCTCGGACCACTGGACCACTATTAATTTCAACCCCTGGAGAGTATAAAACCTTTTGTGTCATTGTTTTAGACAAAGTTTTCTTTGATGCAAACGTCATATTTTCTTCATGATTCCAGGCTCTCAGAGATCTTCATGGAGGTAGCAAGTTAACAACTGACTCCGTTCACTTGCATATCAAGGGAATAAATATGTGCCAGTTTTAAGCGTTCGTTTAAGACCTGCAGATCAAGACGTTAATCACGTCCATTTTCCTGAGCCGGTGTTAAATCAACTCAGTCATAAATACCTCTTAAGTCACAAAGTAAAAAAAGTTCAAAAACTACAAAATTCCAGTGATTTTGTTCAGCAGTTTTGCTTCCTTTAAAAAACCCACCCCTCTAGTCATGTTTTTGTATGTTCCCCTCGCCAGCAGTCATAAACAGTCTCCTCATATGGGAATGGTGTACGCATGGCCCATACTGCGTGAAGTGGCTTGTAACTGTATAAAAACTGGCCATGTGATGGGCTCCAGTCCAGACCCAATAGGAATAGTTAAACAGAGCTATTTAGAAATGATATGTGTAAAGTACATGGATGTCGTAAAGTATCAACAGGATGCATGTATTTTAAACATGAATGAAACAAATACAATGAAAGATTTCATTGAAGATTTAAGCAAAAAAGACATTGATTAAAATTGTTTTGGCCCATAAAGACACCGTTATAATTTCTTGTCTACTTGGAGAATTGACCAAAATGGACATGTACATGTGTGTCTTCGAAGGGCAAAGGTCTAGTCAAAAATGGGTTTGCCCAACAAAACATTTCTGTCTGTATTTTTCACTTAAAAAATGTACCTGACAAAAATTTCCATCATTTGTGATATGGAGGTGTTGGCAAACATTGGTTCAATTTGATTTTTTTCTCTTTTAAAATCTCAGTCCCACAGAATTCAGCCTTTTAAGTGAGGAAAGAACGGTACGATGATACAACATACCTGTATTAATAACATTCGATTCATTATTGCGTGCTTGAGTTAGACATCAGTTGTCCAGTGCAGACAGCACTGTTCCACGGTGGAGCCTTTCCAGTGTTTTTTGTATGGGACATACAGTGTTGAATGGACGGTGACCCTATCCAAGTACAGCTTCTATTAGTGGCTGGATATCAATATGCATGTACTTGCAGACTGTATACAAAGCCTTTTTGTTTGCCAATATGCAGGTTCGTTGTGCTGTCGATAGGCCCAAGGTACATGCATTGCACCTGGAGTGCAAGTGAAATCAAACCCATGAAGTTGTTTTCTTTATAAATAAAGATATCTGTGGAAAAAGACCCCCCCCAAAAAAACTTTTAAGTTTAAAAACACCCCCCATCTACATGTAATAAAAGGTTGAGAGAGGATAATACTAAGAAACAGAACAGCAGGTTCTGATTAAGGCTGGACAGGGGGGGGGAGACGGCGATCTGGTTCAGGTATTCGTTTTCTATTGTAGTGTTCAGTACATAGGAAAACAAATGCATGGTATGTGACAAGAATGAAAATAATGTTCTTGAAAATGGTATTTATGGAGTTTGAAGACCCTTTCCATTCAACTCATACACATAAAGCCCCTTCTGACCCACCCAACTCAACCTTTCCTCAGCCCTCTGTCCAATACCTTTAAGTCCCCCTTACACTGACACATTTTGATCTCTTGTTCACAGACCATCCTCTCCCATGCCACCACACTCAATCCCACCTCAGCCCTCCTTCCCTAGCCCAGTCAATCTCATCTGACTATAAATACTACCAAATCTGGCCCATACCCACCCAACTTAAATTGAAAATTCATGTCCATGCTGGGTACCTGGGTACCTTTAAGATTTAAAGAACATTTAAAAAAGGGCATTACGTGCAATACCGGTGGACCGTGTGCCTAAAACATGAGCTCTTTTTTGTAAGACGGATGCAGCACGTTGTTTTAAATATAAAAGGGGAATCTTCCCTACCATTCGATCAAACGAAAGTGGTACCTCATGAGTGCAACCTACGAACCCAACCCAAACTCAAGAACTAAAGCCAAACCTCAACTTAAGCCCAACCCCAAACTAGCCCAACCCAACTCACAGCTCCAAGCTCATTGTACTCAATTTTCTTAGTCCCCACAATAACGAGGCCAATGCTTCACATAATGCCTCCTTGCATGCTCCCAGTGATCAGTGAATATATCCCCCGACCATGTTTTATACCTTCCATGTTCAACCGACCCTCTCCACAGACTGTTGTGCTGGTTTCAATTTGAAGGCATGGCATAATGCATGTTTACCCTGTACTCTTGTGCACGATTGATTATTGTAGTCATTGTAATCACTGATTCTTTATTCGCACAGGTACTCCATCAGCTGTCAGAGACTCATTCACTTACATGTGTTGAACAAGCTTTGTAATACTATACATATCTGCTCTGTATAGCTAAACTGCTGCACCAGTACAAGGGTAGATCACATACTGTAACTGGTAACAGGAGTATCGAAGCCAAAACTGTTTTCAACCAGACACTTGGGACTGAGACATAAAAAAGATACAGTTTCTGAAAAAATCTCGCAGTAATGCCAGTCAGAGAAAAGATAGGAAGGCTTTATCAGCATTTCATGAACAAGGCTTGGATCTTTTTTGTAGCTTTAGTATGAAATACTTTGCCCAGTATTGATGTCGTGCATGCACTGTGTTCAGGCCCGTAGGAAGATGGTTCTACCGGGGGGGGGGACAGAAAATGAAATCTTTTTGTGGGGAGTCATTGTGAGCGCATAGCACGAAACCTGCACAGTGAAGGGTCAGCAAAGTTTTGTAAGGTTTTGTGCTCTGTAGTGCATGATCCATCAGTCATCCAGTCTCACTGAAAGATTTTTTGAGCAATCGATAATTTGAAATTTTAGCATTTCAAATCCATGTTTGACAGGTTAAAAAAAAGATAAGTTAATTATTGTACATGTAAGATCTCATGTAATTAAACTTTCAAAAAACGACATACATGTATCTTAAATTGGTCATTATGAAGGTGATATTTGGTAAATCCGTAACAGGAAAAGTGTCTCGCAGTAGCATTAAACCTAACAAAATCAGAAACCCAAATTTTGCCAAAGGGAATGATGGTCACCTTTAAATATGTATTGGAATGTCTAAACACTCATTAGTGGAGTTTTCCTTTTAAGAAAAGAAAACATTCTTTAATTTTTGTGCACAAACCAGCTGCGATGTTAAAGCTTTGCCTTAGATGACATCACAAACTTGATGACATGCACGAGCTTTAAATCTTCAAGTTTAAAATAGTATGGGGATATGTTTCAGTAAAACTTTCATTTACTTGAGGAAAGCCCCAAAATGAGTGGTCACACTGAACACAATCTTAGTTCGCCTCAACGATTAAAAAATTCAAACAAAGAAGCTTGTGGATATTTCAATTTTTGGATAAGAAGTGATGGCTCTATCCTATTCAGAGATGCTCTTTCTTATAGATTAATTTTGGGAATAAACTTTGGGCAATTTAAAAAAAACACGTTTATTGGAGGGTGTGTCGTTGTGGAATTTATTTCTACGTGAAGACTGTAGTGGAGCCTCAGGAGGTTAGAAATAATAGGAAGAAATTAAAATAATGTAGACAAGGGGACCGGCTGCATCCGAATCTGTTGTCTAGAGCTAGGTCTATGGCTTTGCTCCTTTGGAAATACGCGAAGACACCAAGAAAATAGACCTAGCCTTGAGTTTCAGACATCAACACGGCCTGCGATGCAGCTCCCTCTGCGTACAGTGCGAAATGGGACTCCTTGTCATTAATGGGCATGGGAGGGACAGGAACTACAGGATCCTGATTGAAAGTGAATATAGGGTGCGTTCGATTAGCTTACACGTGTAAGTTTGACTTACACGAGAGCGTTCGTTTAGCCATCACGTGATGTTCGTGCCTGCCCTGGTGTCAGCCACCACTACCCCAGCTGGCGAGCGGGTCTCTGGAGGCTGCCCGAGTGTAATGACGTCATGGATGGACTGTTCGAGCATGGACGTACATGATGGAACGAGGCGGGGACTTGACCTTTTTCCCAGAATGCCTTGGAAAACACACTGCAGCGTTCGATAAGCCTCATTTTGAGGCTTCCCTTGAGTGTAACACTGGTGTGTTCAGGGAAGCTAATCGAACGCACCCATTAAAATTTTCATTTTCCAATGTGATCCAAGTAAAATTATCACACACTGCTACAAATACTATCCACTCTAAAACTTCCCCACTGAGAATGCAAATTACAGAATCTTTTAAGGGGGGCCCGGCCCCCCACTATATTTTCAGGGGAGGTCACTGGCCCCCTGGTCCCCCCCCCCCGGTTCCTACGTCGGTGCTGTGTAGCACACCCATACCTGTTTTCATGAAAAGTGTGGATATTCCTTTGTTCTCCTGTGGTTAAAGAAACTTGAGGAAAATGCTCCTTTTTCTCCAGCTACGATAACTCCTTTGAGCTGGATTTTTGATGATGATTTCCTGGACTGTTCCTCTTCATTTCGCCACAGATAACCTTGACCCCAGAATGCCTCTGAAACTGTTTTTCAGAGAGGGGAAAACATTGTGTGGACACAATGTGCACTCTGTAACTTGCTATGGGCAGATAAACTCAGCAAGACCGAGAGACCACCATATTGTGTATAGATCATTTGTGTGAATCATTACAGGAATTACCAATGATAGCATAATGAATAAATGGAACCATTTTAGTATGGAAACCATTTTATAACAGTGACATGTTGTTCAGTCCAATCTTTCAACAGTTTTGAGGTTTTTAAATTTTTGTTAGGTTCAGCCGATTCAGGTCATTTTAAAGTGGGCATGGGACGATGTCGATGGTGCTCTAAATTGGCCTTTTTCAATCTGGTTGTGATGAGTCATACCTTATATTGCAGAGCTTGATGATTGGCAAATTATTTTGCAACATTTAATTTCTGTCAGAGGTAAACCGTTATGCCTTGTTAATTTGACACGACTGCTCCACACTGCACTGCTGCCTCATGTCTTGCCTCCTGATAAGGGTACATACATGTATGTTCTTAGCACATGGTTGTTGTAGATAATTACATGATTGATTCTCTGTAGTCCTCTGTAGCATAATGATGCTAAAACTGTGTCGTGCTTTTCTTGGGTTATTTTAGGTCCACATCACCGCCTGCCTTGATTTTTGTGCCTATCTTGCTTTTTTTTTATTTGTTCATTTGGTTTCCAAAAACATATTTTCCAGAGAAATTTCTCATTAGATAAACAGGAACATTTGAGTTGACTTTTCACAAACTGCATGACATTTTGCACAACTGACTACTAGCTACTAATGTGTGGTGCATGCCTATAGTGCACTGTAGCTGTCATGATTCCTGACGTATGTTGATGATGTCTTCCATATTAGCATATAGATATAAAATATAGATTGTCCTCCTGACTGATTTTTGTTCCAGTCTGAGTGATGTGAACCCGATGGCCTTATGTATGGAGTTACACTGTATGCCAATTTTTTGTTTGTCGCTCTGCAGATGTACGGTAAGCACCTTTTCAAGCTTTTAACATTTGAATATGTCTGTTTCTTCCTAGATAACATACTGGAACTTTGCCAAGGAGCAGCATGGGTCGAATCTTCCTAGAGCACATTGGTGGCACTCGGCTATTCTCCTGTGCCAATTGCGACACAGTGCTGACTAACCGGATTGAGCTGATGTCCACTCGGTTCACGGGCTCCACGGGCCGGGCCTTCCTCTTCAAGAAGGTGGTCAACCTGTCCTTTAGCGAGGTGCAGGACCGGGTCATGCTGACAGGCCGGCACATCGTCCGTGATGTTTTCTGCAAGAATTGCGACTCTAAGCTGGGCTGGATCTACGAGTTTGCTACGGAGGAGAGCCAGCGCTACAAGGAAGGCAAGGTCATCCTGGAGCGGGCTCTCATCACGGAGAGCGAGGGGATCGAGGAGCACCTCGGCGAGGTATGAGGGGAGGGTCAGACTCCTCGGTGTCAGTCGGAGGATTTTGGAAGCCGAGACAGGGGATCGGATGTGCACCCTGCACCACCCCTACGGAGGATTGGCAAAGGCCGTCAAAAGAAATGACTGTCATCTGTAGTACTGTACATGTACCTCACACGTACTGGTACAGTCAAAGGTGTTTTGTCAACAACTGAGATCAAGGACTGAGAGTAGTTGAAAGAACTGATTCACAGTCAAGAACATTGAAGAGGAAGGTAGCTGAGCTTGATTGAGAGGACATGTCTTACACGGGTATGGGGCAAACTTGTCAGTGCAGCACAACAAAATGAACACTGACGATTATGTCAATATTCTTGTTAGTCCACGAGGCTTACCATTTGTAGTACGTAAGGTTGGTTAGGTTCCATCATCAATTTGTTGGGCAATTGTCAATAACAAGCCAAGGGCTTTTTTTTTTCATTCACTTGATTACTCACTTGCAGTCACTTGGTGACCTTTCTTTGTATCATTGTACAATAATGTGACTCTGTTGACCAGATGCTAGATCTTGCCTGGATGGGGAAGGGATAAGGCTCCGTAGCCCAAACTTTTCAGGTGCCGAGTAAATCACTAACACGCAGAGTCTTGTTAGGTTTGGTGTGGTTAATGTTAATCAACCCTTTAGTGACCAGTACTGAAATATCACATAATGGCTACAGCCCGCTTTGGTAAGCCTTTGGTTTCAACGAATTCTCAAGTTGAAGGTTTGTTCGTACAGAATTCTTGCTCGGTTAAAATTGTCAAAGAATTTGCCTTATTTAGAAAAGCCTTAGCCTCAGTGGGGTCTCTGAAGTCTAAAAAAGAAACCATAATGATATGTTGGAGATTAAATTTAGAAATTTGGAAGGATTGTTGAATCCTAGATGTTGTGAACTGTTCATACATGTAGATGTAATCTCCCTTATTTGGGGAGACTTACTCGAAGTGCAGTGGGCTCTCTTGTGTAGTTCAAAATACCCACCAAATTCATTTAACTTCTTTTGAAATTCAGGACGAGGTTTTTTTTTACAATAACTGTGAACTGTTAGTCCTTTTTTCCATGGGAAATTCAGATGAGTTAAAAATATCCTCAAAAATGCTTAAACCTTGCACTAAGGCATGGTTGTGTTCTTAAATGTTTGCAGGAGAAACAAAATGCCTGTAGGTCTTGAGGATGGAATGGGAAGAAATGATTTTTCATGGAATTGCCCTTGCTAGATGAAAGACACGGGGTTTAGCTACAGTATAAAGTAAGGACAGTTATGCTTCAGAAGCCTCTGACAATTGAAACAAATTAAAACATTTCCCCAGAGCAGACTGTCTCTGTTCATTATAATGGATAGGGGTTCATGTAACTATGCCTGCACTGTACACATTTTTAGCTGAACTCTTTCAAGAGGCATATGTGTTGCTGGGCACTAGAATATGACCTAACAACATTCAGTGCTTCCATGGTACATATAAATGCCAGAGTAGATTCAATTAGGAGTGGGCCTTTTTATTTTCACCTGCCCACTTGTGCGTGTGTCATGAATTTCATTATGCATGTAGAATTTCAGTTGGTGTATTGCTTTGTACACGTACATCAAGGTATATGTACCAGTGCACTTGCACACCTGTACATGCCTGGACTAAAATGTACTTGAAAATTTATTTCAGTTGGGAAAAGAATTCACATTTTTGTCCAAGATGCACTCTTCCTAAAATTTCTGTCTTAAATTTAGAACCTACTGCAGTAGTTATAATTGGTAGTTTCATAAATTATACATCATAATGGCACTTCTCTGCATGGGTAGTCATTTTTATGTACTTGTATTTAGGAAATAAATGGTACTGCGAGTTGTACTCTTCAGATTCATGTAGGTGGTATGTGAACATTTGGTTATAAATAGCAAATAACCACATTTGGCAGTTGCCAATGCAGTTGACCACGTCATGCAAGTACATGTGTGATTTATGGTTTTCGGTTGATGTTTGGTAGACATTGGCACATCAGATGAAATTAAAAGTACACTGTACAGTTCGTGATTAACTAGACGGGGACAAAGTATCCTTAAGTTGGATTTCGACCACAGTGGATGTAAATGGTGCCTACAATCTGATTGATTTTCGAGATTTTCGTAAAGACCATACAAAGTTTTGTTCCTTGTTTTTTCATTATGAGTGGTTTGTACCAAACTTTTTTATTCAAAATATAATGCTAATAAAGTATTTATAGAATTTTTGCAGAGATAAACAGGAAGTTGCTACAGTGTACATTCACATGAATGTATGTGTTGAATTTATTGCATTTTGAAGAGATGTTTCAAATGGTTTTACACTGTTGGAATTGGATTGGTTACATATATTGGACATTCTGTCAGAGACGCACAAGTATTATTAAAATAAAGAAAAAACCAAAATCATAATACAAAACCACTGGACTTGCTGTTTTCATGTCTGATATTCAAACCCTCAGGAGGGCCATGTGTTCTTTGTAGTGTCTGGGTTGGGGATGGTAGCTTTGTTTTCAAGAGAGAAAGGTGAAAGTTGCTCTAAGAGAAGTGGAGGCCGACACAGGTCGTATCTTGGCTGTCAAACCATTCACAGCCATCTGCTACTTGGCAGAAGGGCGTAATTAATGTACCTGCTGCATTGCCAGTTGTACGGGGAAAAATAATTGCCCAAATGCTCTTCTGCCAGAAACAAGATTGAACCAATTAAAATTAGTGACAGGTGTCATTAACTTGCTCTCTTTTCTCATTCATATTTCCAACTATTGAATTTTTGAAAGTGAATGCCATTATCCTGGCAACAAGTATTGACACATTTTATGAAAAAAGAGAAGAGCCTAACACAAGCTTCTTTCATCACCAATGACTCTCTTTTTTATTTTACAAGGCATCCATATTAACAAGTAAACAACAGGTAAATATCCAAATACAAGTTTAAAACCTGCAAAGGAAACTTATAGCGAGACAATGGTAAAAATATCTGCGTACATCACAGAACGTCAGTGAGTACATTGCCAGATGTACATGTACCAGTACATGGCAGCTTGTCCTACAAATGACGGTAAAATTCAAGTGCAGCATAAAAAAAACCACATCAGAACGTCTGTGAAAGTTGTCCCATGAAATAATGATTAACATCTCTATAACTATTCTAACACCCTTTAGATACTTTCAGAGAGGGTGTTGGGTACTTTCAGTCTCAAGAAGACTTATATTTTCTCTTTAGTACGAGTGACAAGGTCATTGGACCCCACATGCTATTTCAGAGCAATTTTGTACAGTGTTTGTTAAGAAGTCCTACCTGAAATTTATATTTTTCTGTAGTTTCAAATGAACTTAATGACTGCTCCGACTGTACTGGCTTATCTGACCACCACAGGAAAGCCAGGAGGAATAAGTGCACTGTATACATTTTGTAACTAGTGAAGGACACTATGCACAAAGTCGATTTAAAAAAGGGACAATTTCTCAACAAAATATTACATTTACAGCTAAAATAAGTCACATGGATGAAGGACCCAATGCTTGATATTTATGTACATTTTTTTTTATACACAATGACCTCTTTCAAAGAGAACAACTCATCATATATTCTTGGATAAATAAATATCATACACTACCTACACAAAGATGTCCAGCAACATCTATTGAGTGTACTGGTACCTTTTCCTGCTGTACCTTACTTAAAAAAAAAAAAAATTGGTCTTTTGGGTCGAGTGTCAGTTTGTGACTACATCTGTGGGACAAATTGCAATTGTGGGCAGGCTTTCAGAGCGTTCAGTGTCAATTTCTTTTGTTAGACAAGTCAGCTGATTTATGTTCCCATAACCTTTCTTCCTCCCACAACATCTGTTTCAACAGGAGTAGGTCCCACAACTATGGCACATAGGGGGGGTTGCAACAGGGACAGCGGCACTCTGCAAGTCGGTCCTTTTTAGTAATCTCGGTACTGATGGAGTTTTGAGATTTTATTACATACAGGAGAAAAGGGTTACAATGGGATGTTACACCGGTAAGTCAATCATTGACGGTGTTAGGCCATAAACCCTGGAGGGCTATGGGCTACAAGTGCTGCTTAGGGTCACAATTTTCAAACATAATGGATTGGGCACTTGGCATCAGGCTAGTTTGTCACAATTTGGCCCTTGACTATGCTAGCTGGCTCTTCAGTGCAGCTCAGCAGATTCATTAACACAGACACACTGGTCAAAGTTGGTCGTGGTGGTGAGAGGTCTGTTCTGATTACGTGCACAGAGGAAACGGACGTGCATTAACGACCTTTACTTTAAAGAGGCACTTTTACTCGAAAGTATTGTGATCCTCTGCTACTTTACCAACACCAGAAAAAGGTATCGGATTACACGTAATCAGAATCACCTCAATTAGCGATATAATTACAGCAAACTGATCATATCAAAATCATTTATTACATCACATGTAGAAAAATGTACAAAAAATACTGAAAAAATGTCAGTATTAGAGGTATATTCATGTTGCTCTAGCACTTTTCTCCCCGGTATTCAAATGTTACATGCTACTTCCAAAAAGTGTAACCATACCACTGTGATTTCACAACTGTATTGTGAAAGTTGACAACAAATTTCTTTCACACCAAGTCTACAAATACTGGCTAAAACTAACATGAAATGCAAAGACTAGCAACAAAAAGTGGTGGATTTAAGGTAAAAAGTGAGAGCAAAATAAATGTGACTGCATCCTGGCAAAAACACCTTGGGACTCTCAAGAGTTCCAACAGTCACCCATCTATGTCTTGTTTTATATCTTGAATGTCAATGATTTCAATTTTGATCGGTGATTCTTTAATGAAAGTAAAACATCTGTCATGAACGGGGTGGGATTGATGAGTACACAAATACAGCACAGTTTGAGAATGGATAGTCCATGTTAGCTGAGCGAGGTCAAACCATAAAGCCCCACCCCATTATAGGACCTGCAAAAAGTGTGTGTGTGGAAGGGGGGGCGCTGCCACCAGTGGCTGTTTGTTATGATTGCGTATTTGACCTGTGCGTAGATCATCGTGTGCATGGCAAAAAGAGTGACTAGCACATGACGGTGAAGGAACCTGTGGGAATTAGCTTTCAATAAAGAATATGTATGAACACAGCAACAGCAAAATCACTAACTCTCTGCAGTAGGACCGATTCTATAAAAATGGTGGGCACTACAACTTTCTGACAATTTTGTTCAAGTATCCACAATGATGAAAATATCATTTACACAAAAGAAAGGGGAAAAAAAAAGAGAACCATCACCTGAAGGAGGCAGACAGAGAGAAATTTGAAAAGTGAGCATAGGTGACAAATTTCTATGAATTATGACCGGATCTCCAACCATGACACTCTGCCTCATCAGCTATTAGGAAAATGCAACCAAACATAGTCGGTGAGATTTTGGGAGAACGAGAACCTTTGGCGTGTTTAAAGATGTTATACATGTACTTAAAAGCCATTCTGCAACACTCTCCAACAAGAAAATCGCCACTTAGCTAAGACGCTCCTTTTACTTATAGCGTTATAGTATTTCACCTGTTTTGCAAGTGTAGATTTCATGATGCAAAGCAACTCTTTGGAAAATGGCTGAGAGTCATCTCAGTTCTTCCTCCATGAGTAGAGTTTAGACAATTTCTACCTCGGCATTTGCTGTGCTCAGAGTGAGTAGTTGGAGATCAAAGGTCTAGAAATGCATTCCCCTCGCAAAAGTCTCAGTCCCTCCTTACCAAGGTGAATGGGTCCATTCAAATGCTTTGTGGATAAAAGAAATCTTACTGGTTGTCAAAAAGAAAACGCGCAAAGCCTTGATATAGAAAAACAGCACAAATCTTAACATAAGAGTCAAATCTAGGATCAACCGAAGCACATTACAGGAATCCTGTGGTTCACAGATTTCAAAGGAACTTTTGAGCAGAACTACTGTTCACTTTAAACTAAACGTCTCTTTTGATTAGGGGATTGATTTTCAAACCTGTAGACCAGGTAATTCAAACCTTGTGAAATATTTTGCTGTTGCATGATAACATGTGTACAGTAACCAGGAGATCTTTGAAAGAGAAACAAAAATCCCATCGTTACACTCACAAATGATCACACATGAGTCTCCTCAGCAGTACAATATATCAGATATATTGTTTTAAAATGTCTCTGGAAAGGCTTTCCCACGAGCAGAAGAGTACAGGTTTCAGGAATATCAAACATACACTGGAAATGAAACAAAAGCAAAAAAATATACGATACGCTTTAAGCATTATACACAATATGGACATTATTAAATAAAGTATAGGTAATATTGTATGCTAATAATTACAAGTTGTACAACACACACTAAAGCAATCCACTGATAGACCAGAACAGTGAATAGTGGCACCATAAACAGATCAAATTGTCAGAAGAAATTTACATATTAACAATACGTAATTATGACCTCTTTTCTTTTTCTTTTTTTTTAAATGATACATGTACATTACTTGCCCCTAAAATGGCAAAGTCAAAACTCAGGTCATTACACAATGTACAGAGCAGTATTGATCTTTGGATGTTGGAATTTAAAAAAAAAACCCAATCTGGTTCAAAAAGTCCTCTTAAAAAAACTGATTCGGTGATGTATTCTTACTTACAATAGGTGTATTTCTCTTAAAAGTATTTACAAAGATTTTTAGAGTAAGAAAAATATATGGCACTACTTCAAGTCTCAATATGTTTTCCTTTTATTGGGGCCAAAAGCTAAAAACATGCATCTTGAAAAAAAAAATCCTGCAGTCCTTCTCGAAAACTATATAACATCTGTCTACATAATAATTCCGCAGCTAAAAACATCTGTGTTGATCACTTGACACAAGAATTAAACCTGCTAAACCAATATGCTAAATATCTGAATACTTCTCAGCAAAACCAGTCAAAAGAAATTTTGTACACTATTTATTTATTCATATGGTTGTTTGTACTAACTGGAAAGGCAAAAAGCTCTTTGTGACTAAATAAAATCATGTAAGTATCGTCTGGGCAAATTGTTCGCCTTGTGAGGACCTCCAGCAAGAAGGAGATATCTCTCATAACTGTCTGAATCTCAGGAGGGCATTAGGACTCAGTGGGAGTTGCATAACCAGAATGAAAGCTTTCTTCTGAGGAATCCTGAGTTGAGAACTCGGACCTGGCATCGGTGTAGTTGCTCTCGGAGGATGTGGCCCTGTGCAGGCCCTCGGAGCTCTGGGCTGTCAGGAACACAGGGCTGCTGGGGGGTCTACTGTCTGGCTGAGGAGATGATCTCTGGTTGTCCACGTCGGGCTGCTTGTCTTCAGGTTGCATGTCTTCTCTGACTAACTCTTCCCTTGTCACCTCTTGTGGCTTCACCTCGTCGATTTCCATCTCCGCCTTTACAACCTCCTCTGTTATCACTGCTGCCTCTTCTGTTGCTTCTTCATCCACGTCTTCCTCGTATGATTTTGTGCCCTCATTTAGTTCCTCCTCTTTGAGGGAATACTGTAGTGGCAGACATTCCTCTACTACCTTTGTTTGTTTCTGTGCCTCAATTTCGTCTTTGGGGTTGATGCAAGTCCTGGGGACAGGCTTTGAGACGGCCTTCTCTAGCTCTTGAAAGCGCTCCTTGAGAGAACGAAAAGGGACAGGCTCTGAATCTTGAGGGGAAGGCTCACTGGAGGTTTCTGACCCCGCAAGGCTGAGGGCACCTCTTGCAACATGAACGGGCGAGGCTTGGGCGCTGCTCTGCAGACTGCTGGCATAGCTGCTCATCCCGTCAGGCTCGTCTGAGCAGTGGGATGCGGTGTCAGAGAAGGCCATTTCCAAGATGCCCGTTTCGCTGATGGTGTATTTCCTGGGGATGGGCCTGGAGACCCACTCCTGCAGCTCTTGCCTCCTCTCCCGCAGCGACTTAATCTTGGCACTCCGGAGCTCGTCCTGCGTCTGCTTGTGAAACTCAGCATTCTGCTGGATGGCTTGCAGGCGCTGCTTTATTCCCAAAGAGACCGGCGTCACCACCTTGGATTCCGGCTTCAGCGGCGAGGGCTTCTCAAAATTCCGGACCGCATCTCGCACGGATTGCCTGTTCCGACCATTCCTGCTCTGCGATGACGGGGTGCTGTCTTGGCAAGTTGTCTTTTCCTCATCTGAAGATGAGCTGGTGGCTCTGACAGGTGTGGCATGAAACAGCGAATCCGAGATGTGACGGACCCGGCTCCTAGCGGGTGCCTCCCATGACTCGTTCTCTGTCATGGCCCTCTGGAAGGTCTCAATCTTACTGGTGACCTTGCCAGGTGTCTTGGGTCTCACGACAGTGTGTCCATCCTTGTCCTCCTTTATTGAGAAGCCCTCGCTGTGGGCCGTGCCATCTCGATCTATGTAAGGATCGCTGAAGACATGCCTCAACATAACTAGCTTAGGACCCTCCTTGGCCTTGCGGCTGAACTCGCGAGCAAGCTTGATGACCGTCTTGGGTGGCAACGGTACCGGAGGTGGTTCTGCCTGACATTCTTCTTGACAGGATTTGTCTGTCTCCGACTCAGGTTCATCCTTTTCCAACTTGGTAGCTGCTGAGGCAGTGCACACATTTGCCACACTGTCCGCCGAATCTTCAACTGCTTCGCTCTTGTTGCCCTCGTTATCGGAGAGGTGAAAGTTCGAGTACTTCTCTCCAAGCCTCTTGAAGGCATTGTTAACAGACTCCAAGAGGTTTTCATTTGAGGAAAAGGAGGAAGTTTCTCCTGATGCTCCTAAGGAGGATGGTGACACATCTAGGAGGTCAATCTGGGGTGATGGTGACACATTTTCCGGCTCTGCGCGGGGTGGGCTGCTACTCCGGTCCTCCGTGTGAGTGTCCAGCATGTTGGGGTCCGAGTGGGATCGATTATGCATCTCACTGACGGCAGCCAACATGCACCTGTCGTCACTGTTGGAACGGGACAACGGGATTTTGAGAGGTGCATGCATCGCTACATCGGCACTGAGCGGCCGTGCACCATATGAGGCACTTCGGCTCCTCACGTACGAATTTGAGGACATTGGAAGCCACACATCTCCATTTTTAAGGGTGTTGAGGGGGCGATAGCTCTTGATGTTTGAGTGTCGGACTTTGAATGGCTCTGACGGGGAGACCTTTTTGATGAAAGAGGGCAAGGATTCCAGGTCCATCGTGTCCTCATGTCCAACGCTTGCATTGGGGACAATTTCGGGCAAGGCCTCGAGGGCTTCCAGTTCATCGGGACTCTCCGTGTTCTCAATGAGTTCCTCAATGGCATTGTCATCCTCGTTTGGGTCTGCCTTCTTGACCATGTCCTCGGCAGTCTTGTTGCGGTCTGGTCCGCCCCGCCTGCTCGAGCCGTTGGCATCTCGGTCCCCCTCCGTGCTAGCGTGCTCCGACAGCGTCATGCTCCCAATGCCCGAGTCTCGGTTGGACTCCCGTTTCTTGGTCAGGTTGCTACGCTCGGCAGCTCGATCTTTCTCCTCGTCGCTGTGTGTGCTGGACACGCTGCCGTCCAGCTCCATGCTGTTCCGGCTTAGTCTTTGGCTAAGGTTACCTGCTGTTAAAGTCAGATGGCATAACAAGGACAAAAAGTTAGTTGGTCCACACAATCTTACAAGATGAGTGTATGCATTTTCCTTCACAGTGAAAACAACACTATATGCTACAACCGTCTTTCTGGGCAACCAACAGTTTTGTTGGCTTTTCCTGAGTCTTTAAGTTTCTAAAATTCCACGTTCAAACTGTGCTCTTCTGCATACGAAATTTTACTCCCAAACATCAAATGGAGTTTGAATTCCAGTTCCAGGCATAAAAAAAATACCTTTTGCCCATGTATAAGACAAAGTGGAACCCGGGGGAGAACTACGGTACTCAGGCTGTCCAAAAATAAGAAGGAAAAGCTTGTACAATATCACTCAGGAGTTACTAGCTATTCACCTGTGGGTCGTTTGTTGGGACTCCTGGAGTCTGGGGTTCTGGTCGAGTCAGACCCAGCTGACAAACTGCTTCTCCGCTCAGGGGTAACGTCAGTCTGAAATAAGAATAAATAAGCAGTTATGAGTATGATGCACTCACAGCTTTGAACACGGAAAACACACTCGTGCATATCTATGGCCTTGGTTTTGTTTGGGATTACATGCTGTCCACAAAGAAATGGTTGACTCAACTAGAAAGTGAGATTCAACAAGTCTTAGGGCCACATATTCAGCAATTTTGTTTTCATTTGTACTAAAGCAAATATATGTTGAAGGCTCCTATTGAGTTTATACAGTGCAAGATTCCTCGGAAGGCCTTGATGTTGGGTCACGTATTTAGAGTCAGTCAGCGGATACCCACCAGGCGTGATGTTGACCGTCTATGTGGGGACTCCAATGATTCATTGTCGGAATCGTCTGTCGTGTTGAACGTCTCAACCCTGATGTCACCACTGGAACTCCTGCCATTCTGTAAGAACATAAGGCGTTGGACGCAAACTTAGACAAAGTAATCAAAATGGCCATGCAACAAATTTCATGCAGGACACTTCTAATTTGGGTGGTCTCATCTTGCTCTTCAACAGTACCCCTGATTTCTATATTCACAATTTATTAGTATTCAAAGTTCACACCCCAATTGCCAATCCAGTTTTGATCCAGTAAAAGTGTAATGCCAGCACTGAAAACAGAGCATTCAGTCTGTCTTGTTTTGCCTAGGCACCGGTCAACATGCTAGGGGTAAATCAACCGATTGGGGCAGCTTTGCATGGTGACCACAGTACATCACAAATTTATGTCAGTTGCTTCCATGATAAACGGGTTGTCTTTGGTTCTTGGGTGTGCCAGAGGAACTGGATATTTTCTGCACAATGAATGAATGAAACATTTGTATTCATGTCTGATTTAAATGCAGAAGTCCCTTATCGGTGTGCAACACTCACCCATCTAGACAGCTCTGGCCTCTTCATTCCTGCAAGAATAAAAGGCATATCGAGGATGCAACAATTACTCATTGAGTAAGGAATGAGATGCTAAATGGGTTATGCAATACAGGCGATTCACAATAGTGTGCCTCCAAGAGTCTGCAACACGTTGGCCAATCAGAACACGTGAAATTTGTCAACCCTTTCCGAACACGCATTGGGTCGACAGATTTCGCACAATGTAACTGGCCACCGTGTTGCAAACTCTTGGAGGCGCACTATTGTGAATCCCCCGTATAGAATGATTTTACTACAATCCTCGAAACTACAACTTTGTGTTTCAATTAAAACGTTGGACTAACCAAATTCTTTCAGTGGCATTTATTACCCAAACAGTTGTCGATCTAACAACAGGTACAGAATTGAGGACTGTTAGGGCTAGGGCTAAGTCTCGAGTGAAGTAATAGGGACTGAAATAAACCTGTCTCAATCCCACCCAATCCTCCAAAATCTCCCATGTACAGTCACATGTTTATCATCTTCCATCTTTTGATGACTACTTACATAGGAAGTGTTAGCACATCCATTCATTTGGTCCCCTATGCAAGTAGATGAGTCACGCGATTACAATGTGCTACAGGGTACACCAGCATGCACGTCCGTCAGACATTTAATGCTTTGAAATGAGCATCCTAAATTCTTCTGGTTTAGTATGCCATACCATCTTGGCAGTTTTGTGGGAAGAGGCAAGCTAGGCATCCCCTGAGTCAAGGCAAGCTAGACATCACCTGAGTCAAGGCAAGCTAGGCATCCCCTGAGTGAAGGCAAGCTAGGCATCCCCTGAGTCAAGGCAAGCTAGGCATCCCCTGAGTCAAGGCAAGCTAGGCATCCCCTGAGTCAAGGCAAGCTAGGCATCCCCTGAGTCAAGGCAAGCTAGGCATCAACTGAGTCAAGGCAAGCTAGGCATCCCCTGAGTCAAGGCAAGCTAGGCATCAACTGAGTCAAGGCAAGCTAGGCATTACCTGAGTCTATAAAATTACACAATGGATTAACGAGGGGTAATGGGTAAGGGGGATACATGTAAGTCATGAATTTGGAGAGGTGTCTGTACGCGCAGCGCAACTAATAATGCAGCACGGTCCTTCATGCAACAATAATTCGCATCAATTGCCACAATTTCACATTTGACACGGAAGACCAATTCATAAGTCAGACAACCAACAGATCACATGGGTGCTCAGAGACATAAACAGAATTGATATCTGCGACCAAAGAAAAACCACACAGGTCACTTTCTGTACTGCCACGTTCTACTGCAAAGTGAAGTTCAGCAAATTGGAAGGAAGCCTGTGACAGATTTCTACAGGGAATTGCGCTCTGTTCTCAGTAGTGCGTTTCTGCAATTTAGCATTCCGGCAAAAGATGGTGTGAAAATGTCTTTTCAATTAATCACATGGCTTTGGCTTCGGCGAAACGGCAGACAGCAAGGTGTGGTCTGCTCATGAAAATAGTCCGACCACAAGGGTGCTTTAATGACCTTGAGTCACAAAGTGCACCCAAGCAAATGTTAACTGCAGTGGCATTACACCACGTTAAACATTTTCAATGCTGGTTAATCACTACATGCACACCTCCACTGTGCCCTTCACGGCACAGATTGCCTCATTAAGGACATCTGTGTAAAGGGTGAGAAAAAGACCAATTATGACTAGCTACACCAAGATGCAACGTGCCATTGTATTTATGAGAATGCCAACAAGGGAATGGTTTATGCTTTACTGGCAATCACAAAGAGAAGCAATCACGGAGGTGATACGGTGAACCAAACGTGAACATGTAAGGTGATATCACGGTACAGATTTGCCAAAGGTGAGCACTTTGTTTGAGGAGGGGCAACTTCACTGTGAGTGCTTTGTGATGTAAAATGTACATTCAGGCTTCCTTTTATCCCACATGTCGAGTTATGAACCCACATGAACACGGATATGTTGTGCCACCTCAGGTGATATCTCCTGATTGTGATTGCCCACTATTTGTCTACCGCACGTGCCATGAGCAGCAACTGTTGTGTAAGCCATGCACACTCACCTCTGGTTATCATGCTTTCCACAGCCGCTGTAGTGTAAAAAAAAAATAAGCAATGGTGGGAAGAAACCGTGGGTTAATATGGCAAGCTACTCTTCCCCTGGGTGTCTGTCACCATGTCTATTACCAGGCGCAAACATTGACCAACATGTGAGCAAGCATGTGTGGTTTGGGAGTGGTGCTGTGTTGAGAATCTTTCAGGTATTAACAGAATTTATTTTCGGGGTTTGTATTGGAATGATTTCCAAAAGATGAAGGTTACGTGGACGACAATTTTAGAGTAAAATGCATCCCTACCCCCCCCAATAAATACAGTGTCTTTGTCAATGTTTAGAGTTCTGTTTAAGTTATCTGATGAGGTACATTAGCATTATAAACATAAACAATACTGAGAAGTGTCAGTTTTGCCACATTCAAGGTTCCAGAAATGTTAAAGCTCACTAGTGATCACAGCAGCAAACTGTGCGATTGAACTGAAATTTTTAGGTAGAGTTCAGTTTGATGTTGTTTCTCGGTTAAGAACAAACAATTTGGATGTGAGTTGTGTCAGTTAAGAGTTGAAAAAATGCTGATTACTGGTGACATTGTAGAAAAATTGCTGGTGACATCGACCCAAACCAACAGTGAGAAAACAAAGAAACCATTAATGAAGAAAATAAATGGTTGTGTACATGTCATTTGCAAGGCACCATCCCCATAGAATTTCACTGACTTCACAAGGATTTTGAAAACTTCTGTCAATGCATGTAATGCATGTGACTTTAGGCCAGTGCTTTCATGCAGTAAAATGTACTTGTGATTGGGGCATGCGACATCACTTTACAAATGTAATATACACACTGTAATGCATTAACAAGAACCAACACCTGAGTGATTAGGAAAGTGAAATAATTAGTGCTTCCTGAAACATATCCAAGATTTACAGGGCCAAAACGTAAGAACAACATGACCTAAAGAATTGTCAGTTGTGGAATCAACATGATGACATGTATGTATAAATCATGGGATACTTGGTGAATAAACTTTCATATTGAAAAATTGAGCATCACTTTCGATGCCAATTTGTACAGTCAAGAGCACTTATTGATATGAATTATTTATAAGTTGAAACCAAGATTAGAAATTTATAGGTGAGAGAAAGATCACAGTACCTAGTCTTGAGTTAAAGTTCTAACACTATTTCGAAAGTTAAAAACTATTAGTTGATAGGAAAGGTTTCTCAACTAGCTATTCAACTAAAACCAAACTTGTTACAAGAGGAAAACATAATTAATAGTGATTCCTAATTTCCTAGTTCAAAAAGATGAGGTGGTTATTTTGTCTAACCTCCCCAGTAAGGACTGTAGTCCTTTGACCCACCTTTGACCTGTTTTTGACCTCTGATGAGCTTGCCCATTGGCTCTGAGTTGCGTCGCTTCTGTCTACGTTTGGACTTCCTCTCCTTCTTGTCGCGCGTCAGGTCCTGGTCAGGCTGGACTTCTTTGTTTGGGTCCGTTGTGGTTGACATAGCTGATAATGAGAAAATGGTCTTAAATCACGCATGCAGTTGGGGGTCATAATGTCTATCTCTGAAGGCAATCTCAAATCCTCTACTAACAAAGAACCTTAACACTGATGAAAGAAGGAAAAGTCATTTTCGGGTGAGAGAATCATGAAATTCAAACAAATTTAAAACTCTGCTCTAAAAGTGATGATCAATCATAGCTTAACTGCACCAAACAACATCGTATAGAACAGTCACATCTTTACAGACATTCCTTATAAAAAATGCGGCAAGTTGACAAAAAGTTCAGTAAGTTCATGTGCATCTGACTTGTTCCTAATGTGACAATGTCAAACATTCAATGATTCCAACAATGACCCAACAAACTGGGTACAAAGACCCAACAAATAAGGCAAGATACACACACAGCCTCCAGGAGATGCATAGATTGTCCCTGGAAGGTTTACTAAGTTTTGGGTCTACATGTACACATGTATACATTGTTCTGATTACCAGAGGGTAATGACACCTTAATGCAGATAAAACATGACTGTTCTCAATCAGACAACAACTCTGAATTGGTTTATAGATTCAAGGGAGGAGTCAAGGCCTTTCCAAGTCCGAGACATGCTGGTGACTTACTGCTTCTCAAGATCAGCTCGTAGGAATTGGACGGTATTTTGCTTTCAAAGTTCTGCAAAATCAGTTTCTTGATTTCATGGCTCCACAGTTTCTTCTGGTCCATACTTCGAGCCTGGAAAAACCAAATGAAATGATGACAGATGATCACAGCTTTTCTAAGTTCAGGAAACGAACTGCTTTTTTTTCAAACTTTCAGCATTTCTGTTTGAGGAAGTGAGGCTGAAAACAAGACATTGCTGTTACTTTTATTTAGACTTGAATCAAATAATCAAACCTCATCAACAAAATTCTCAATAACTTCTCATTTAGACTGAGAAAAGGGCTACGTGGCATTTTTTCACATGCAGTAAATCAATAACCATGAATGAACGTTGTAAAGAAATAAATTCCTGAAATGCTTCTATGTAAATGTTTAGCTTCACGTTATATGTCCTCCAAGGAAGGCTGGGAGAAAAAATCTCTCAATTTTGCTTTTGACTGAAAGGAAAAGCTCATAAGCCCTTTTCAAATGATGAATTACTATACAAATCAGGAAGTGTCTAACATCTTAGATCCTCAAAAAAGAGATCTTCCCTTGAAACAACAGGATTCCCACTATTCAGTTCAGGATATTTGAGTATGAAAGGTATTGATCATCCAGTAACATGGAGACGGGAATCTTTCCAGCAAATATCACAGAAGGAAGTGGAACGTACCAGGATTGTGTACTGAATGCTGGGGTTATCAAAAGGAAGCACGTTGAAGCCCAATGGTTCCTTCTGTATGCTCTCAATCAACATCAAGTTGGAGCACTGTGGATTACGGAAAAAGAAACTGCAGTTAGAGCATTAAGATCCAAACGGCACAACCGATACTTGGAACAGGAAAGGGGAATCAAGCAATACTCGGCTGTCATGGGAAAGAACTCCTGACTCTGATTTAGCACTTCCTCACTTTTCAGCTAGTCCGCTTCCAAGTTACAATGCAGCATCAAAGATTGACGCAACCGATGAGGGAGAGTTTCCATTTTGCATGTGATCATTTCGAGAGTGAAATGTGCTAAGAAAGAAACCATTACACACGCAGTCATCTGTGAGAGGTATTAGAAACAACATGAGGTTGTCTGTTTGTTTTGGATAAAACAGGAATACATATCAGGGGACGAAATCGAAAGAGATGTCACTGTAACAAGGTCAATTCTACAAGAGCCTTGACGTAAACTGATGTAAAGAACACTCTGCAAACCTGAAATACAAGAGAATGAAATGTTTTCACATTTCACTTTGGTTGTGAAAGTGGAGCAAGAGGAACTTAACATACAATGTACCAGTCCAATTAAGGCAGGGAGTTTCTGAAACTCCAAGCCCCTTCTCTATTATCAAAGTAACTTGAGCAACATTGACTGACAGCAGTACTTGGATTGGGTACTTGTTGGGATTGAGACACACTGTATGCGCCTGGGGCATGGAAGACCCTGTTATCAAAGACCTCATTTGGATGGGGCATTAATCTGTAGGTCCTGCATCTTGGATCAGTAAACAGTAAGACATCCAGGAAACTTATCATGGAATAAGAGGGGTTTGTCTGGGGTAGCAGATCCATTTTTGTCCCTTTTTTTGAAAGAGCGGCACCTTTTCCATTTTTTTTTCCTTCCGGTTATTTAATAACTTTGAAAACAGATCTCCCTAACTATACAGAGCCCCCTTTGTGTAAACACTAGCCTGAACATCCTTCCTTGTTTGTAAATTATCTGCTACTGGTCCAGGTTTAATGTGACAATAAAGTGCTTTGGGGAAAAAAGGAAGATCTAGAGAGAAGAGTGTTTTAGACAAGCTGGATGTGACAGTTATGACAGTGGCTAGGAATAACATATGCACTTATGTTAGCCACTGGCTAATGGCTATGGCTACTTCCCACAGTCATGTGTGTTCCTCATAGCCCCAGCCACAAATCGATGATGCAGCCCTACTTACTGATATATGAGTCTTGATGCTGATCAGTCCATCTTCTCGCTTCTTGCCGATAAGTAACACCTTCTCAAACAGGTACAGGTAGCGTTCTGCCCTTGCTCCTTGCATACGGAACACATCCTGAAAAGGGATAATTCTCTCTATTTATGTATCTCCACTTTACTAACGACGTCCCTCTAGTGGGAAAACACCACATACCCACACAGCTTCATGCATGTTTGACGTGATACACACTAAGCAAGCGCCAACAAATTCTGCCAAACTGTACGCTACAGTTTATGCGTATGTGTGACGTGTGCAGAGTTGACATTTATCCTACTAGCTTGACTCTCATTTACAGGTGGTGGGATGCTTCTAATCAGAACAGCTTCTAAACACCGCATTTATAAACTGGTTATCATCCAGTACATTTCTGCGTAGTTCTCTTTTTATTAAGGAGCATAACAATATTGCTGATCATCTCTCTTGTACCAATTTCTTTTATGTCACTGAAGTTCCAAACTTTCATAGGTTCAATAGGTCGGTTGTTTGGCGGCCGCCCTCGTATGCCATCAGCTCAACCATGTATAAATATATTCATTGTTCCATGCTTAATGTCTTCATTGTACAGCGCATTTGAACATATCTATATGAAATTTGCACTTTATACATGAATAAATTATTATTAAGTTAACATTTGAACTGGCCAATCTTAAGATATGAAATAAAATTTTGAGGTGAACTTTAATTGGGATCTTAAATCCCAATTGGATTGAACAAGGAGAATTCCTGTTAATTTTGAGTAATGAACAAAGTCTATACATCATTTACTGCTCATCTACAATGAAATCCTTGGCCGAGTTGTTAATCAACGATCACGCAGCACTGGTGCTCTTACACAGACACTCTTGAAACTTGGTAAACTCAAAGCCTGCATGAACTTTGATTCACCTCCAGTAAAAAGACCCCCAGTTTGCTCAAGTGTTGAATGCTTCAAGTGGATAAAAAAATAGGAAATTTACACAAACACCACTTGTGAAAGCCCTCCTGCATCCTATCTGGTATAGAAAAACACAGACAACCTGGTTCCTTTTCTGTGCTGCCGTTGCCAGGCTTCTGTTAAGAGACAGATGCATTTCTTTTCCTATTTTTTTTCCTCTGGAAGGTATTTTTTAGGTGGAATGACAGTTTCTTTCAAGCTTACCTCAAGAACAAGATCACCACTTGACATGAGGTCACCCTGTAGAATAACAAAAAACATCAGGCTGGGGGAATCAGAAAAGTGTGTTTTTTTTGGGGGGGGGACTGTGAGCAATTGGAAATACTGACCTCTTACAAGAACTGAAAACAGGTGAGCTGGGATTTCATGTTTTGAAAAAAATCAACATGGTTCCTTTATCTTATCTTTTAACTTATCCAGAAGTATTGGAAACTAAAAACACACTTCACACTTTTTGTTCGGAGTTTTTAACCGTAACATCTGTGCAAACTCTGATGGTGGAACAATCCTAAAATAAGCAGAATTTTTGGTTTTCCAAATTGAACACAGATCACCAGTGCACATGATGTACAAGAACATGTTTACTGTCAAGCTGCTCTACAAGTACATAAAATAAAACACGATCCCATTTTTTACTATCTTACAAGAGTTTCCTCCAACACCCATCCCATTTCCAGCTTGTAAATTTTTGCCAAACTACATAAACTCTGCTCTTCCTTAACAGGACATCTTGGGAGGTACTGATTTCCACTGCCACATCTGGTTTGATTTAACATAAGCAATGGGCCAGAACATTAAGAAAACCAGGTGAAGAAAAAGAAGAAAAAAAAATAGCTGGTGGATGTACAGTATGGTTAAGAACAGTCAGAGGAGGAAGGCGATAAGGACCAAGGCAGATGGCTGCACTGCAGAGAGTGTCCTCTTCGCTGACGAGGAGGCAGCATTCATGAAATTCCGTGGAGGAATACTTGGCATGCTCATTCCTCATCTCTTCCGTGGAGAGCCAAGAGGGAGATGGATAAAGCATGCCCTGGAAACAGCATCCCAGCATGGACAAGGTTCAGGCATTACCGTCTTGAAAGTGTCAGGTGAAGAAATATCAAATATGTCTGTCTGTGATCAGCAGAGGCATTGCTCAACAGTCTCTTGCAATAAGTCAGGGAATCTTTGAAGTGTACATGTGCATGTACATAATATTAATGTGCATAACCTAAAGTCCAACAATTAAAAAAAAAGAAATTCAAACTAAATTCCAACCTAAAAAAACCCAAACAAAAGCAAATAACCCCACTGATTTAACCAATCCAGGAAATGGGAATGAAGTTATGAGGGCTGAAGCATTGTAATCTTAATTTGTTTAGTGTTAGTATATAAATACTATATAGTTCAGTGTTTATAATAAGCAAAAAATCTCTTGTCATTTCTCTTCTTCTGGTGTAAGTAACGTAACAGAAAAAAATTCAAATAAATGAAACAGAAAAAAGAAATTATACCCCCCAAAAAATGAGTATTCACAGATCCAAAAAAGTAAGACACGTGCTACCCTTCAGGTTAAAATCTCCTATTTTATAATTTAACAAAGCAGAAAAATATGCGGATGAAATTCCTGGGTGTTGTTTACAATCATTACATGTATCGTACTTTGACCTAATGGATTAGGTATGCACAAATCAAAGAACTCAAGTGCTCAGGTGCATGAAATCTATAACACTGATTGGAATGCCTTACTTTTGTAATGATCATGAGGCGGAAATAATACACTTGGCAGTTAGTGGTGTTAACACGGAGTACTGGCTGAACCAGTTGAGTTTGAAAGACGGTGTGAAGCCACATTTTTTTTTATCCAGAGACATAAAGGTGAAGGCACTGTGATGCTTCAATGTGGTGCTGGCTTGGAGGAGTAATAAATTTACCATTTTCAAAAGTTGGTGTCTCTATAGCAACGAACAATTTGGTAGAAGACCGAAACTATGATCTAAAGAGTTGGCAAAATATGTTGCGCAGTGCACAGAATGTAAACAGTGCTGAAGAGCTGAATGTTGCAAACTGTAGATGGGAGAGTGGGCATTGACTCACGTCTCGCCCTTCCCTAAGCACTTGACATCGCACCAGAAAAATGAGGCCATAAACATGTGCCATATTAGTGAGTCAAGTTGGGGTCGGTAGTTTCGAATGTACCCACACCGTACACTTACGGGAGGAAAGTTCATTCAATAAATATAAATACGTTCATAAATCAGGCAGGCATCCAGTCGTCATTGTTTTGAGTTGTTCCCCCCCCTCCCAGTAGACTTCAAGAGCCAGACAAAGTCAACCCAAGACCGTTTGTCAAAAATTACAGCTACACCTAAACAGTTGTCAAAAAAGCATGTAATAATGTTTACTCTGCACCCTGTCTCTGTGTTATGATTTTTGGGTTTTTTTTCTGGGGCCAGGTGCTTTGCTTCAGTTAAAGTCTGGCTCAGACTCAGTATGTGGTATCCCTGATTAATTGAGACTTTGGGGCTTCTTTTTAAGGTACAGTGCCCCTCAGGCTGGGTTGCACAGAGCTTGGGTTTTAAAGCTAGTGTGTAAGTTTGTAACTCCCAATTATGGAGGCAGGGGAATACACTGGGGGAACCCCAGTTCACTCCAAATGGTGGGAGAGGGGGGCCTCAAGCGCAGTAATGATATTTAGTGACAGAAAATGGAAATAAAAGAGGAGGCAGGAAAGAAGGGAAGCACTAATGACAGGCAGACAGATCTAATCCATAAGAGGCTCCTTGTCCTTGAACTGGAAACACAATTGGCCGTCAGGACAGCTGTTACTCAGACTGTAAGTCAATTGAATTTTACAGATGGCCACATTCAATGAGGATTGTGCATAAAAGGAAAAGACTTAGCCCAGGCATGGAGGAATACCCAAGGTTCACCTTTTTCTTTAGGTCAAGTGAGATGTAGTGTCCTGGAAACCAGCTAAGTAGGCCATAGCACAAGCACAAGAGATTATGCATAAGGATGAAACTACCTGGCTCAAAGACAGTGTTTTACCATCAGAGAGAGCCAAATTGTGTATGGTAAATTTCACTGCTTAAAAAGACCCAAAAGACACATCAATTACAAAAGCAGCACACTTTGTTTAGTTTCCACTTCCAGTGGTTCATTTGGGGTTTACCTTGGCTTTAGAGGCTAACTGCCACAGTGAAAGTTTCCAGATACTCAGCATGTATGACCTTTCAGCAGTTAGCTTGCAACTTCAACACACAAGTGACTAACACCCACACAGGGTGGAATAAACCGCACATTCTGACAGTTTCTTCTCCTGTTTTAGTTTATCCTTTACCTCCCAACCAACCAGCTGGCTCTGAATCTCCTGCACGTGCACCCTGGCCTCATGTTTGCGCTTCATCTCGTTGATGTAGCGTGCAATGCCCGTCATGCAAACCAGGGCATCACCGATGATTTCGTAACCCTCCTCTTCCTTGTTGACATGTTTATACATGTCCTGAAAACAATAAAAGTGACAGAAAAAAATAGTGGAGACCTGATGGAAAGCATTATTCTGTCAATACTGACACACGAGGAATATCACATGTGACAACTTTTCAAATACATGTATGTACAAATTTACTGTACTGTAGTGTTCATGGGAGGGAGGGTAATTCTGGGAAATCCCCCCCCCAAAAAAAACCCAACAAATTCTCAGCATTCTGCAAATAAACTTTCCATGTTAACAAGTAAACTTTATTATATGTGTGATAATTTCGAACTAGTAAAACACAAAGCACCTACAATGTAGCCCTGAAGCCAGGGAAAAATCAATTGCTAGTCGTAGCCATGCTGGGAAACATGGACCAAATGTCAACCAGATGGACACACTTGATCAAGTTATTCCAATACAGGCCAGCTGATGAAGGTCAGTACAAGTGGCACTAAGGCTCAGCAGGAGCACTTCCCAGTCAAGTAACAACTTCACTGCCTGTGAATTATTTTGGGCTAAGTTTTATCTACAAACATGGATAATGGTTCAGCAGTCCTTGGTAAATGTGAGCTAGTGACAAAAAGGGCCCCTGGGGTAGTTTGAATTTTGTGTCTGGTATACAGGCAAGTTGGCAGAGGGTTTGCTGTACAAAACCTGGAGAGATTAAAACAAAATGAGATTGTCTCTGTGGAAAAAGCCAGAAAAGACAGAGGGCAATGACTGAAACATTTGTGATGCCAATGCATTTCAAATTGCATCAATGCTGATGTAAGGTATTACTAAAAAAATGGCCTTGAAGCCAAAAATCGATAGTCCTAAATTTGATCAATGTTGATATTTTAAAATCAACAATCTTTATTGATTACACAAATCTGCTATTCACACATACAGCTTTTTCATCAAGGTCATCTTTTATTACTCTACACAGAAACCAAAAGGGAACTCATTAAAAAAAATAAAATAAAATAAATAAATAAATAAAAACCTTGAATCAAACACAAGGATCTAGTGCTTTGATGTCTACACTGTCGCCGGGAAACCAATGCCATATGTTGTAGTGATTGTCACATCGCGGGGTGTGCCACCAACTTGGCTAGGCTGGAAACTTGCCTGGACTGAACTTAAGTTTTTTTCCTTGGGAAACAACAAATGGTCCGAAAAATGAAACCACGTGTGGCATGCGATTAGAAACCTTCTCAGTTTCTTTTTAATTTTCCCAGCTTTCCCAATTACAAGCATGAGTCACTCATTTTGCTTTCGGCTAAACTTCCTGAAAGGTATTTGTTTACTCAGGTCACATTGGACTGGCAATCATGACACCTTTTTTTTCTCCCCACTGTCTGTGAGGACATTTTCCCAAGCTTTTTTCCAGCCCTTAAGCTTGTTCTGTCATTTCTATCTCTTCCACAACTGATTCATCCTTAGAGGAGAGCTAACTTTGACTGACAGATTGGCCACAGTTTGTGGAGAGCTGAGTGGGAATGACAGATTCAAAGCTCTATACTAAACTGTACATGTAATCAAAGTGTACCATCATCAGTGCATAAGTATAGGCCTATTCAATGTCAGATAAAAGAACCAACATAATAAACTTGGTTCTAGATATCATAATACCGTTAAAAACCTAGCTCAAGTGCACTGGCCGGGGATAAAACAGTCCCTCTTGTATCGGAGATGTACTCACCTGGAAGAGCAGGTGATACTTCAGAACCCTTTGTACTGGCTTGAGGAGGTAGGCTCCCAGAGGCAGTGGATGCCCCAGGTACAGCTGACACTCTCGGAAGAACTCGGCTACGTCATCGTACTTGGTGCAGTCAATCAGCACCTCCATGGTGTCGGGGTAGTTGGTGCAGTAGTCTGTGTACACTCGGAAGTTCTTCTCCTGCAGGGGCAGAAAGGGGCCAGTGTTAATGATGGGATGGGGGTTGTATGTTATACAGTTTGCATGAGTGAGGGAAATGTTTAAACTTGTTTCTAAGCATCACTTTAGGACCATCCCTATAAACTTGATATGCTCGTCAGAAAGAGGTCCACCTGTATTTTAATCAAAATTGTGTGCCCAGGTCAGGACAATTAAAATCTCTGTTGGCAGTAAACAGTAGAATTGAATTTAACATATTGCATGTCTGTGTTATGATCTTGTTTAATCAGAAGTCTGGCTTTTTCCAGGTGAAGTTAATTACAGAGTCTGTACTGTTTGGTTTCCTATTTTCTGGTTTCTGACAGTTATTCCTGAATGTTGGTCTCTAAATTCAAATTCATCAATAACCAGTAAGTAGGACATGTCTCATCACTTTATGCGTCATGTTCTGTAAAATTCCAATCTGTCACTTAAGTAAAAAGCCAGTTCACGAGCTGTTTAGAGTGTCTGGGGGAGCAAGCAGAGGGCCACAGGTTCAACTACCACCCAAGCTGTTGGTGGATGGGTTTCCAAGTTGGCAAGCAGGCTCATTGCATTGGTCATATTGAATACAATAATACAGATAACACAGGTTTCACTTACATGTACTTTACACTGTCATCCTATCATACTTCACGGATTCATGACATAAAGGTATCAGGCACGAAAGATTTCTGTGAAAGTCATCCTTTGTTTGCTAGTTAGTTTGAACCGAGAGACGATAACAATCCAGTGTCTTACATTATCAAGGAAGCACTCTGCGATCAGTACTGGGTCATTATTGCACTGTTGTAACTCCTTCAAAAGTTTTCTGAAAAGATACAAGAAGAAACAGGACAATACCATTAACTTTTAAACTTTGGCAAAATGATCGATGTATATTCTTTTTCCTAGTGAAAATCATATTTGTACAGTAATGCTCACAGCACCTGTTCTCTTTTTTGGGAGTTGTTTTGAGTGAACAGGATGGTTTTGGTTATAAGATGACTTACTGGTAGAAATCGTTAAAAAAGGTAAACATTCCTCATTACATTCATTAATTGCATCTCATCTTCAAAACTGACAATACGTATCTCTCTGTAGGTCCAAAAATATTGTCTCCTGTACACTTCAGCCAAAGTTGAAATGTACATGTACATATGTACCTGTTTCAAATATGCTAATGCAAGTATGGTAATGTTGTACTGGTCTTCTGCACTGCCAGGCTCTTTGGTGAGGGGAGACAAGAAGGGAAGATGCAGGAGTCCCCATGGGGAGGGGGCAGTAACCCCCTTGGCTACAATGCTCCTTCAGGGGAAGGGGCAAGAATTCCTAAAGGGGAGAGGAGTAGCACCCTCCCCCCACAGGCCACTGCTGCTAGGCCTGTGCATTCAGCATGTGGCAGCTTGTGTTACTGTGTGTGGCAAACCAAATTGTACCGGTACAATCCTGCCTACATGTACTGTACATGTACTTTCACGCGTGTACGTGTATTGTGTATTAAACTCAAAATAGCCTGCATCATTAAACACAGAAGTATGCTGCTGCATTCATAAATTCCAGGCAATTCCAGGAGTTAATTCCACGTGTAGAGAGACACATTCAACCTGGCTCATTCCCAGGTATGCCTACCTACCACAACTCTGTTCAACCTGAAGGAAAAAAACCCACAATTCCTGGCTGAACTGCATTTCACCCCAGAGATCTACTCTGACATTCAATAGAAAAGGAGCTAATGGTTGGGGCCACATTACAGGGTGTCTCAATTTCAAAGTCTGTATATAATGAAGTGATGTCACAACCTACACGTACCAGTACACTTGACTGATTTTCAGGCAAGCCAACATTTCCTGGAATGGACAGTTTCATCCTTAGTAAGTGTTTTAAAGTGTGATTTAGTTGGTCATTTCGAATCAAGCAGGTAGCTACATGTACATGTAAATTTGGAATCAATTTAAATTTATAATGCCTCCTTGCTCAAAGAAATGGCACTCCACATTACATGACATTATAGACAGTCCACTGGACCGTGTCTTAGACTTAAATGGGCATGTGAGCATTCTTTGATATTTCAAGTCAATCGGAACGATACCTATGGAGTTAGGTTCAGGTTGAAAATCCATCTATAGTAATAACTTCTCAAATAATCCTATCTGTGCTGCTGCAAGGAGAAAAGCATCTTTTGGGGGGGCGGGGGGGGACAGGGAGAATTTGTAGATGATCACTCTAGCGGGTACAAATTCAGGGGAGGCCACACACACACAATGGTGCATACACTGTTTGCCTGATGTAGTCACCAGCCAATGACTAGTTGCCTAATGTCAAATTCATTGTTGTGTCTACAACTTAGCATCATGTGTCATGAGTGGTCTATGACTTGCAGGGGCTTAGAAAGAATGCATACATGTACATGTATGTCTGTCAATTTTGTAATTGTATACTACTATCATCAAGCTCTGACAGCAGAGAGATTACCAGATGAGTCTTTATCTCTGTGTGCATGCCCCTCCCATCCATTGTTGTGTCATCAACGATTCCCTACCACACCATGGAGCTTTTGTGCAGACAGACCTGCGATGACAACAGATAAATTTAGCTCTTCACCATGGCTATATGTCAGCACCCGTTCCCCTGGTGGTGCTAATCTGTCACACCGCTGCCAGGTGGGACCCTAAAGGCCAAGTTGACAACAAACCAAGTGAGTATTCCGGTGAAGGGATTGTCCAATTAGGAGTGGGGCAGGAAGAACTCGGCCTCCAATAAGATGCAGCTCACTTTCACGTATTTCCCTGAACTTTAGTGCTCTTTCCTCCTCCTGATCCCTGAGGGCAGACGAGTCATTTCTTGGGTTGTACAGTACCAGGCAGAGCTTTGTTCACAAGGGAATCACCATAGTGATATCAGTCTGCAGCGCTTCCATCCACTGGTACTGGTGCACATGCTAGCGCATGTAGTTCTTACGGCAAATGGGGGACGCCACGGATGGAAAGAATTATGAAGGACGGAAGCCACTGTCACAAACTGCAAACTCCGAGGCTCCAGATAAAAAATCAAGTCCACCTGTGCAGATTGGCTCAACTTTTGAACTTCGTGTGCTATGTGACCCTCGTGTGGGAGAGGGGGGGAGCAGGCATGCTGGTAGCTTCTGACATGCCTGAGGCTGCTCTATGAACTCCTCATTGTGATTGGATGCAAATGGAAGGGTGTGGCACTCTTTCATCAAAATACAAAGCGCCATATGATTTTCAGCGTATCACCAACTTGTTTGCAGCACATTGCGAACTGCAGGTGCAAGCAATGTAGGCACAAAAAGAATTCTTTTTCTACATGAGGCCTGTGCACCATCTTGCAGGTAGTTTTTTTACACCCTAGAGGGCATTCTTGCAATGACGATCATTTATGTTGACACCATTAGCTGTACAGAAAGCCATTTTTTCAATGCCTCAAGGTGGGGTTTGTGTAAAAGTGCTCAAAAAGATGGAAGCACAGTAGAGCATTTTAAAAGAGCAACAACATGGACCCAACTTCTCTATGGGTGCCATTCATGCTCAAAAAGCCCTGGGCTGTGACACATCACAAAGCACTCCTTCCTGTTGGGCTAACCTGGATCAGCCAACTTGATGACAAAAGAAAACTTGTTTGAAGCTTGACAGCCAGTCTGCTCCCCTCCCAACAATGAACTCAGCTCTGCACCTACACACTTCACAAGAAGTTGCCAAAAGGCTCCGCACTAAAAAGACCCATGGATGTTATCAACTTCACAGTTTGAGCACAGCCTAAACTGTAAATAAAAACCAAATAAATAAGTAAATAAAAAGACCAAGTCAAAATAGTAGCAGAACACAGCCCAAGAACAATTTGTAGCCTGTTTGCTAGTCTTGCCTCAAGACTGGTTTTACTGTTTGGCCTGTGCACTGTGCAGATGACATGTGCTGGTGAGCACAGCCGAATAGCACTCAGAATCAGTAGAGAGCACTATATTCACAAGAAATGACCTGCCAGAAAACCAGTCTTGTTGAATCTGGCAGGCTTACCCGACAAAGTCTGAGCATACCTCACGCGCTCAAGTTCATGTATAATAATTTGTGTACGTACTGCTGAAGACCACGTGCCATGGCGACTGTGGATTTTGGAAGTGTGCATGAGCACTTATTCACGGTATTTGAGCTTGAGTGTGTGAGGTGTGCTCGAAAATTTTTGGGTAAGCCTGCCAGGTTCTACAAGACTGGTTTTCTGGCAGATCGTCTCTTGTGTATATAGCGCCCTCTAATGGAAGTGCTATTCGGCTATGCTCACCAGCGCATGTCGCCTGCACAGTGCATAGGCCAAAACGGTAAAACTAGTCTTGGGGCAAGACTACCTGTTTGCATGTGGTTGAAAGCTGGATACACAATGTGAAAGATACAGCAAAGTAAACCTCAGGCAATTGATTATAAGTCATTTCAATATGGGCCGAAAAGAACTGCCTCCTCACTGTGAGTAATGCAAATACCGGTAAAAGGCTTCGTATAAACTACATGTCCAAGGCAATTGTGTCTCTCATGTTATCACTGACTGCAAAGTGAAAAAAAAAAGGAAGAACCATAACATTCCCAGTAGGCTAGCGTTTTTCGAAACATGACAGACGGGTGTTGTCTGGCGTGAGTTTGATAACCTCTCCCACGCTGAGTGATTCACAGGCATGCTGGACTACATTCATTCTTAGACCCTGGGAATGCTTCATGAAATGCCAGCAAAGCTCACCGTTGTTCACTTCCTTGTTTTCAGATTTCTTCTTGCCCTGGTTCCCGGGAAACTGCTAGCGCATGTGCAGCTTTGGTGGTGGAACGCTTAATTGACATTTTGGAGGTTATACATGTAAGGTTCCAGTCCCACTTCAGTCTCACTCTTTGTTCATCCGGGGGGGGGGGGAACATTAAAATGATAAGTTTTGTATGAAGACAAATGAAAGTTGGAGGATTTTAAGCAATAGAGGAAGGTTCAGCCCAGTCACTTGTGCATGTACATGTACGTACAGTACATCACATGGGGCTTGATGCCCCTTGAAAGTCCCCCCCCCACAAAAAAAAAAGAGAAAAAGAAGAAAAAAGAATGCACCATTGGTTACTTGCACCAGAGACAATTTTGGTTGATTTTTTTTTCTCTGCACCAGAGAACATTTTGGTTGATTTCTGGCACACATGACTGGGTAATAAGTGATACATCGGTGCGTCACAGGAACATGCAAATATATGCACTTGTACATGTACACTGTACTGTTCACGAATGTACTGTACCTTCGCGTACATCAGGAGGCATTTTGAATGAGTGTTAATAATAAAGGCACACTATGGAAATTCACTGCTGATCACCTCCAATTTGTACAAGTAAGCTGATACTATGGTGTCTACTCCCTCCATCCTGCTCCCACTTTCCTTGCTCTACAGATCATATCTTCTGCACCTTCTCCACACAAAAATTGCCAGGGATCCCAGCATTACACAGCTTTCCTCCCTGAACAATGACTCATCGGAAACCATGTTAAAATCCCTGGACCCAAACCAACTCCCCTTTGGATGGCCCAAAGGATCTCGGAAAAAAAAAAAAAAAGCTTCAAATGTCACAACCACTCTTGCAACTGTTATAGGGAAGTTGATTCTTTGTGTCATGAGTAATTTGCTGTGCTGAACAAGGAAACTATAGAGCTCAATGTATCATAGGCCAGGGGGAATTGCCAACTTTCAGTCATGTGAACCAGGCATTCAGGGCAGCTATACCCCTTGATAACCATGTCCTGGTACATGTACATGTACATGTGTACACAGTGCATGTTATGATGACTGGCACAGTGTACCAGTAGCTCTTGTGGACCTACATGTACAGTGCAGAGTTCAGTGTTCGGGCCTGAGGCTACACAGCCTTTTGAGGATCCACATTTATGAGACTTTTGATTGTTGCCAGATTTTTAATGACCAGCATTTTTTAAGTTTTCTGTAAGGGGAAATTTGAAATTTTGTAATCCATACTGTGCTGATGACAGAATCGCTTGGCTTTCCACAGTTCACACAGAACAAATTCAACTTAAAGATAGCCAATTATTTTTTTAAAATTTCCTCCCATGACTCCGATATTCACTACAATTCAGCATGATCAGAAGCAAAGGAAGAATGACAGAAAGAAGATCTATTTTGACGGCACTGACACAGCTGAATTTGCATGATCTTCAGACAAAATGTCCCCCATGTCCACGTCACACAGAGACTCACTGTCATCAGCAACTGTCAATATCCGGCTGGCTGATGAGTCTCCTTCTTAAAAAGGTGCTGCACAGGTGTCCAAGACAATCAGGTCAACTGAATCTGAACTTGCCCCACTGGACTGCACAAGTTTCTGCCTTCCAACTTCCTAACAAGAACTTAGACAGCCTCGGGCCTTACTGTAAATGAATCATGGGTCCTGCTAGAAGACAAAAAAAGCCCCTCCCCCCAAACCAGCCCAGTACCCACAGGAGGATAAATGGACAGAACGCATAGCAACCTATCAAAACACAGGTACCATCCTATTTACAGAATTAGTCACACATCTCATTTTATGTAGGTGTATTGGTAACAGTGCATGACTGTGCAAACATACAGTGTATATGAACACTGTATCATCGTATGTTCTTTTCGACTGGGATACAGAGGTGTGGTGGTCTACAGGGGAATTCATGTCTGGCACTGAGTCAAGAGGCCACTGAAAAAATACAGAAAGCTTCCATACGGAAGCTGTGAAGTCAGGAAGTTGGGGGAGGGGGAAAAGCTACATGTACAATTTAATTAGACGGTATCACTTGACAACATGGGAAGAAAATTCACGACAGTAAAACCCAGGAAACTCCACAGGATCAAGCAAGGACTGGGATAAAAATCCCATGATCCTCTCTGATGATGGCTGACCCAGACACACCAAAGTCAACAAATGGAAAAGATACATTGACCTGAGCTGGACAATCTGCTCCTCAGTGGTCGCCGTGCACAAGTAATGTGATTAGATCCCACTATGAACTTTTGATATCAGAAGGCCATGGCCAAGTTCATTTCAGTAAAGGGCATAACGATGAGTGATACAGGTACATGTATCATTTCTCTATGCACCTGCCAAGTAACACTGTATGGGGAAGTCTGATAAGGGGAGTTCAATGCAGCTGAGCTTGGCCCAAATCCCAGGGGAGTGAATTAAGGAACATGAAGCATACTTGAATTGGCCAGTTGCATCTTAAATATTCTGATGTACAGTGATTGACAGTAGATACTGCATTGCATTGAAATTTTGAGACAAATTGATAAGATTTTTAATTGCAAAACCGGGTAATGTGTACCGGTAATTTACATGTATTGTATTGTAACCTTGTTGATAAATCTGTACATAAACGTTGTAAAATTTAAAATGATGGTAAGCCTACATGTACAGTTTCCACTTGAGAGCCCGTGACAATAACTTTTCCCTAAAGAGTGGGGTGAGCCTTTGGGATGACTTACTTGTTGAAGTCGTGGATTTCTTGGATGTTACCAAATAGAGTGTCTTGGTCCTCTAGTGTGATGAAATTGATGGTGGCCGCTATAGGTTCCTTATAGCCCTGTTTTGGGGATCATAAAGAGGCGATAAATGTAAAACAAATGAAACTAAAGTTATGAGAGGGAGACATCAGGTAGTTTGGTTTTGTATTTTGTAAACCTGAGCCATTTTCCCCAAAAAGGTTTACACTGCTTCATGCTGGTCGAAACTTTTCCCAATTGAGCAAAACATTTCTGCTTAACAAACTTGTGTCAGAGCTTTTCATTAAAGCACTCGTACATCATTCAAGTACATCTGACTGTGCACATGCAATGATTTGATACTTTGGAAGTTGTCAAATATGAGGACCATATAGAGTTACACTTTTATGACTGTTTAAATACAAATATGAATGAACAGAAAATGCCCTGAAACTAGATTTTTACTCTACAATCTTTCTAAAGACTAAAATGCACCACAAAAGATTTGAAATTTTGAAAAGTTGTGGAAGATGTGTACATTTATGATATTTATACAAAAGAACTTTGTTTTTAAAGGCATTGCTGTTAAGTGTTATGACTATCTGTTGCTGTAAAATACATGCTGAGGGGACATGTACATATGCAGTTCTGTACATGTAACCAGTTCCTAACAAGGAATACATGTACGTTTGAAACACAGTTATTTGAACTCATATTCACCTGTATAACGTCCTCCAAATCCATCACGTAACTCTCCTCTGTGTCCAGAAGTTCCTTGCATTTCTGATCCATGTACGAGAAACTGTGTCTGGAGGACTGTTGGGACTTGAGTCTAGGGGGCGGAGTCGAGAGGGGGGAGGCTGTGGGGGACAGGGCGTCATCGATCTCAGCCGTTGATGAAATGGCTGGATTGAGACGTGAGGATTTCCTCTTGTGATCCAGCTTGATGGCCGACACTGAAAGGGGTGCTGGCTCCGAGTCGCTTCGTAACCGGGTTCTGGGTTTGACCGTTGGAGCCTCGCTGGTCTTCTTGTTAGAGGCTGCTTCATGTTTGGACTTTCCCAGAGCATTGCTCTCGATAAACTGGCTGAATTTTGTTCTTGCAAGCCGCGCACCAAATGACAGTGTCCTCTGGAAGCTTTTCAAATTGGCATTAGTGTCTGTCCTCTCTGGGGGTGAAGTTGCTGACGTTTTGCGTTTCGGTGGGTGGGCGCTCTTGTCGAGACTAGCTGATCTCAAGTCAGAACCAGAGGTTTTGAATTCCACATTTGATGTCTTCAATTTGCTCTCAGTGGGAGCAGCAGTAGTACATTCTATTTCAGTCTCCACAGTGGCATTAGTACTTGGTTCATTGTCTCCATCCAAAATTCCAGGGCAACTCTCGCTTCGTCGCTTCTTGCTCTGCACGTCTGTATCAGTTGCATCTTTCTCCTCAGTTACCACGTCCGGTTTCAAAGATGAAAGGGATTTGTACAGAAAACTTTGGTTAGGGGGATTTGGCATTACATTTAACTCTTCCGGTTTCTCAGTCATATCTGCTGGCTCATCTATATGTACCATGGGAGCATCACAGGTACTCACAACTCCGTCGGTAACATCAGTGGTATCAACCGCCATGGAATCTGTCTCGGTCTCAGGGTCTGTGATTTCACTGGTTCCCGTCTTGGAGGGAATAATGTCATCCTTGCTGGAGCTCTCGGGCGATTCCGTCTTGGCGGCCGTGCTCTCCGTGATCGACATGAGTTCGCTGTTGGTGGACGCATACTTGTCATACAGAGTTATCAGGGATGGGGCTATGTCCATAGAGGAATCTGCAACAAATGATACGGGGAGAAACACAACAGACATTAGAGTCAAAATATGAAGATTCAGTAACTAAGCTTCAAGAATCATTTGTTTTCAAGCCTCGACTTACATGTACCGGTACTACGAGTGTATCTAACATTTAGTATCAGTCTCAAGTCACTTTGAAACGTTTAACTATGCAAGAATTCAGTCGGACGTCACAAATACCATTCAAAGGAAATTGTGTTACATTATTAGTGAGAACTTTACTTTAACAAACTTTAGTATTGGGTTTCAAACTGAATCCAACTTTGTGTGTTTCCAAAATGCCATTCAAAGTCTACACAGTCATCAGTGTACCTTTTAGAAAGTGTAATAAAATGAACACTGCTAATAAGAATTTCAATTGAGTACACCATGGAGGAAATGATTGTTTATGTCTTGGCTGTTTGCGATTGCATAAGAAGAAATAATATTCACAATCCAAACACAAGCCTTTCACAATTTATCACATGTGAATCAAATAAGTTGGGGAAAAAACACCATGCACACATCATAAAACTCTACTGGTATCAACGTCAGATTGGGACATGTCACAATTGGCCAAAGCCTCCACTCCAAAACTTGCTAATCCCCTCTTGGTGAGATTGTGCAATTAAGTGAAAGATTCCTGGGGTCTGCCACCAAAATTTCAAGGTTTAAGGTCACACCTGCAACATTCCAGGCCACACCACTGACAAACCTCAGCACAAGAAAGAGTGGTCTGTTCTGGACCATTGGGAAAAGTCCCATAGCTAATGGGGTGCTGTGTTAGTATGAAAAAAAACCCCCAAAACTCAAGCTGATTTGCTTGAGGGGTGTTGACTGTAAATTAGGCACAAGTGGAGTGGAAAATAAAGTTTGCCTTGTGTTCGCTGGAGGCCTGGGGGAGGGTACATGGGCAGTATGGGCAGAAGGGTTGCGGTTAGGGCTCCTTGCTGTGTTTAGATGAAGCTGTAAGAGGGCCCAAGTGCCTTATAAACATGACACTGGATATTCATTAATCCTGTATTACCCTAACACTCCCTGTCAAAAGTCGTTGCCTCTGTCACAAGCAGGCAACTTTGTACTTATTAGTAATTGGAACTCTTTCTCTTTGAGCTTTTGCTAGAAAAAGACACTAGAGATTAGGCCTGAATGTATTATACCACTGTGAAAGGAAAAACCACATGCATGTACATGTACATACCGGTCTCGTACTTCTAAATCACAAAATGCAAAGATACTGGTATGTAAAATTGTGACCCTACCGTAAATTTGATCTGTCAAAACCAAAAGGCCCACAGAAAAGAATGCTATGTAATCGTTAATTTGTTTATCTTTCATCCCCTTTGGACAATAGCAGGTTGCAAATGTCTCGAATCACTACTAAATAAATAGAAACATAAGCCAACCAGAACAGCAGCAAAACTTTCACTTGTTGAAAAAACCAGAATACCAGAAGCCTTGAGAAATGGGTTCAATTACACACCTGTTTCCTGATGATAGCTAAACTGGTCAGGACAATTTGTCCCACAGATCTGATGTTTCATGGGAGTAACAGGAGAAGGGAATAACCAGCCCTTTGTTTAGTATGGTAACTAAGTTCTGGCAATGTACACAGCTCGGGGCTTGTGAAGTGGACATGGAGTGGAAAGGAATCCAAGAAAAACAAAACGACTGAACCTTAATAGTTCAGGACTGTTTACTCTAAAATCTGGACCAATCCTTGGGTTCTATATTGGGGAATTTTGTCAATTTATTGATAACAGGTTCTACAAACTTAGAATGGGACATGCGGATGGGGTGCGTATTGTAAGTCTGACGCCTCATAGGTCCGACGCCTCAAAAGTCTGAATTTTCGGACTTATGAGGCGTTGGAATAATGAGGCGTCAGATTTATGGGCAATTTTTTTCCAGCCCTCATAGTTCCGACGCCTCAAAGATCCGACGCCTCATAAATCCGAGGTGTCGGACTTAATATGAGGCGTCAGTGCGATTGATTGCGAGAAACATGGAGGAGTGCGGGCCCACGCGACGCGTCGCCTGCGAGCGAGATTCAACTTTGTTCCCAACTCGTGCCCACGGAAAACTAAATCAAGCAGACTACCAGTATGTTACCGTTATCTTACATGAACCTTTGAGAACAGAGAAATAAAGCCAATTTTTAACTATGTACTTAAAATGGATCTCGTACCGGTACATTTATGTACACGTACTGTACAATGCACTTGTTAGACATGTTTAAGCCTTGAAATAGATGACAAATTACCGCAATATCCAAAAAGAGTATCCAAGGGCAATTCTTGTAATGTACATGTAATTCAGTCTTCAAGGGACATACAGACTTATAAGTGACTTGGTAACGAAGCAAAGGATTCATCTACAACACATTGCTGTTTGAGTGAAGATTACTGCTAATCAGTTACTTGCAAGTACATAATGTACATGTATGCATATTATATGCACATGTGAAAATACATGAATACAGTACATTTGTAAGAATGTCATTTCAGCAATTTAACATGTCCAAGAAATAAAGCCAGGGGAAAAAAGTTTTACCTGTTGGGAAAAGTTCCTTTTCACTTGTCTCAATCATCTTTCGAAGTTCAAACAACATCGTCATCGACATAACTTCAATCTTCTTAATATCCACTAAAAGTCAGCAGAGAAGCATTTAATCCATTCGCTGGCTCTACATCATCCACATGTGCTCCCAAACCACCACTTGCCACTCACGGAATGAAAATTCCTGACAAGTTACAGCCTACAGGTTACTATCCTGCCATGTGGCCTAGCCCAAAGCTTGGACAGTGTTGCTTCTCCCAGAGTCCATATCAAGGCACTTGCTTTAAGTCCAGGATCTAGACCAACTCTAAGGGCAATTACTGTCTCCACATTACTCACAGGGAGGGTGTGATGGTGCAGTTCTTCACGTACTAGCACTTGTCAAGTAAAATACCTCAAACAACTGTGGCTTTGTTCTTTGTGGTTACAGGCTCTTCCACTCCCTCTGAAAAATCAGTGGTGGTTCCCAGGCAGAACTTTATGAGCCATTGAGGGATGATACAGCAAACATCTTGCATGATTTCCACAAAAAGAGACACATACAGAGGGCCAACGAAGTCCCAACAAGCAAGTGGAAAAACCCTTTCTATAACATGAATCCCAAACATCAACTGGCCCACAGGAGCAGGAACAGATCTGACAAATTTATGGGCCAGTCGGCACGCATTCCTGGCTGAGTCAACTGCAGCCCCCACACTACTGCATAATGGAAATACCCACATGCCTTTGGGCTAAAACATGCATTATGAAAATATACACACTGCACAGTGTACTTGGCAATGACAACAGTTAACACTTTGTGTGGGTTTCTTGGTTTACCGACCACAGGAAATGATTACCAGAAACTGTATGATGTACATGTACTACTACTGTACCATACAAGTGTCCACTGCACAACGCCAGACTCTTTTGCCTTTGGGATGTGTTATATTTCCAAAGGTTTGGTCTTTGGCCAACATTTCCCACAGCTCTTATCAAAACAAAGGTATTGAGCATGTTTAAAAGGTGGACCTACTGAGGAGGTTGAGCTAAGTCAACATTTGACAATGAGCTAGGTTGAGCAACATCCTTTCAGTAATGCACACAAGAGAACATATATGTATACAAACCAGTGCCTGTTTAATGTACAGTACACATGTAACTAAAGGAAAGGAGTTCATTCCCATGGTTCCAATCTCCAGGCATACAGTAATCCGACACAATGGAGCAATGAACAGCTTTAATGGACCCAGTGTAAATTCAAGCAGATTCAGAAGCATAGCAAGAGTAGGCCTACATGTAAGGATACCGGTATGCATGAAGCCAAGTCAATGCCTAATTTTCCGTACGTGACAAGTTCATTGTATACATGTACATGTACACTGCACGTATAAATATTCTAATAGGCAACTCAGTTACATGATATGTACATGTGTGTTCTGAATAGAGAAAAAAATTCAGGTAATGTCTGATAGCAACAGACTCACTGTTATCACACTTTTTATATTAATTTTCAATTCTAAACATTTGGCAAGAGTCAAGCTGGACTTTCATCAAGAGTTCACAGCAAGTACCCATTACAGTTTTCAGACTGAATTAGCCGATGACCATAAACCAACCACTGGCCCTGAAGAAAGGCCAGGCCACCTGACCTCTGACTATGAAGTTTGCCATGGCCTCTGTGACCTAATCCATAAAATCCAATTTATCCACACTAGAATGCCCTTTATATTCTGTGTGGGTTTAACCTGCTAGAATCTTGGCTTGACATGCAGGGCATTACTGCCAACAGACACACTCCACAGATGCCAGGAGGAGAGGTCCAGTCACTTAGCACAAAGTCTCCAGCATGCTGACCAAATGTAGGCGACCTTTGAGGAAAAATGAAAGTGACTGGATTTATGTGTCCAGTCATGAATCTAAACAGGCTCAAAAACTTACAAGTACCAGGACATGTACCTGTACATGTACAGTGACAGAGCAACAAGCTGGTGTCTCCATCCAGGCTGGCTGGTTACTGCTGTGGTCAGACCAGCTGGCCTCTGTCTGACCAGCTGTAAAGGCCAGCTGAAAGATTTATATGGACTTGGGATGCCAAGACATTGCCATTCATTAGACCCCATGGGACCCTAGCCTAAACAAACAGCTATCAAACAGTGTATCAAACACTTGTTCTGAGGGCCCTTCAGTCACACCTCCTTTCCTCTATTTTGGCAAGTTTATGGGGCTGTGCTTGTCATCATTTACCGAGGTCAAGGACCACGGGAAGAGGGAACAATGTGAAACAACAATGTAACCACAGAATAACAACCAAGTGCATGTCAAAACAACCCAAGAACCATGCTGGTGAGTAGCCCATGTTCCCTTGTCAAAAAAAAAAGGAAAAGAGGCCATACCACAGGTTCACATGTTTCATGAGTCACAAGCCATAACCATAACTGATGTGGGTTCAACTGAAATGGTGGATCCTCCAGTGATCAAATAAACAAATTCATACACAATTCATTTCATTTTCAGTCGTCTTCCTGTTTAATTTACATGGAAGATACACCTGTTTCCTTGCTCTATGCTTCAGCCCATGCCATCCAATCTTTAGCTCTGTCAAATCCAATTTTGATTGTATGTCGTCAACGTTACACATTCTTCTTCATTTCTGCACTCTGTTTTTCTAGACAGTTTCATTTTATCCTGTGAAAGAACATACACATTTATATTCAGACACCACTGCTGATACAAGCAGGAGGATGTTAAAATGGGACTGTTTTGAATGTTGGTGGCAGAGCCAACTCATAATGCACGTACTCCCTTCTTATTTCATTATTCACACCCCTCCACTGACAACTCTCACATTCCACAACACATGACTTCCCGTACAAGCTTGTTTCCTTCATCAATGAACACACAGGCGGCCCCAGCTACTGAACTCGAATGGCGGGAGGTATGACAGCTGGTGGTGGTACTGGTGGAAGTTATTAAACGATCTAATCAGGAAGTGCACATTTATGAGTTTGGAGTGATTCCTTCCTATTATCAGCCCCACATTTCCTAAACAGATCGCCTATATAAATAAGCACAGGCTACTAAGCAAGGATTACAATGGGGGTAGCAGGCTATTAGACTAAATGAGGAGGTAATTGTAAAAATAAACAAGGCAGAAGAAACAGGTTAACAAGACCGTCTAGACACAGTCCCATTGTGCATCTTGAAGATATTATAGTCAGCTGAAGACCATTACCGGTACCACAGAGCACAGTCCTTCAATATTACCACACAAAATACAAACAGTACAACTTCTTATAAACCTAATGGTACCTGTACACTGTAAATATACCACATGCATAGATATATTAATTTCTCTGTGACTGATTTAATAAAAAGTACCAGTGACACCATTGTTCCACGTACATGTATGACCGTTGGTCAACCGATTACCAAGATCATGAAAAATCGTCCGTTAATTTTTAAGTGCAAACATTCAAGCCTGCATGTAATAGCAGTAAATACAAGAAATGTAAAATGTACGCCTTCCTCATGAAATGTCAACTTATTACATGCACATGAAAAGTCCTTCAGTTCTATGAGGTACATAACATTGCAACGACAAGAATGTTAAGAAAAAAATCTTGAAGTTGAAAGCTCCATACATCATTGCTCAACATTAAACAAAGAAGTGGTGTTTTATAAGGGTTTGAAAATTGAAAACTACCGGTACAAGACTAGTAACTGAATTAAAATCAATTCTTTGTGGATGCTCTTACTGGCAAGCTGACATTCATTTGCGGACAAGTTATTAAATTAATTGTAATTAATTTAAAATTAATTCTTGACTTTCAATAAATACAAATGAGAAAAAAAAAAAACCATAAGTGCAGCTTAATTGTTGGGACCTCTTTATCATAAATTGCACAGGATACATTTTTCGGCAAAAGGTACAAAATACAAATAATTTGAGCACATTAATGATATTGATGCATTACCAGTATCATCAACTCCTAGATTCTTCATCTTGAGAAAGTTAGTTTTCCTCTTCCTCCTTCGCAATTTACCAAACCCCGGAAGAACGAAACACAGCATGATTCACAACAGTCAAAACATCCACAGAAAGCCAGGGTCACAATAGATGCAAAGTCCAAATTGTTCTGTGCCAGAAACAAGCACCGCCAAAGCCAAACAGATCATTCAGATTGGCAAAGGGCACATGGACAAAAGTTGCAGCTTATCTACCGATATGTTTACGCATACGCAGGAGAGAGAAAGAACGGTGCCAACGGTTGACGATCATCTGGTTGTGCTGTAGCAAATATGGTATGGCTGAGATGTCTTCAAAACGGAAAATGAGGAGATGAAATCGGCAAAAGCTCCATGGAAGGGTTTATATAGGCACTCATACAGCTGTCTAGGCTCAAAACATTACATCACTGTTCCCAGGGCAGGGAGTTCCACGTTGGCATTCCACCAAGTATTAATTTCATTCAGAAATCCCGCGCAGAGTTAAGGGCAATCAATTCCTATCTTGTGTTTGCCAGGGCGGTGCACGTGGACAGTGATTGAGAATGACCTTTACAGTTGGAATGCCACGCTGTTCAGATGAGGTAATGAAAGTGTGCTATTTTAAGGGATCTTTAGCCCTATAGGGGAGGGATTATGTACGTGTACATATATGCAAACTGAGATAAGGAAACTTGCAGAGGATGAAATAAATGAGTATCAATGTGACCAGGGGAAAAAATGAAGGATAACTCATCTGGTTAATTAATTTATCCCTTGATGAAATTTATTTCCCAATCACACATATGGTTATATAAAAATTAAGGTGGATGTGCACTGTTAATGCATGTAAATTACAGTACCGGCAATTCCTAATTAATAATACACAACAACTGTACAATGTACGTACGTGTATACACTGTACATGTACCGGTCTGTGTGAGTTTGACTCAGAAAAAAAAACCTATCGATGACCCATTGAAAAATTTGTGAATGTGACACCTTAAGATAGATATATGTAAGTGTAATTTGAGAACAAATAACAGACCCGATTGGAATACTGAAACTGAGAGAAGCTTGCACTGGTAACATGTACACCTTTCTCACTGCATGTACTGTAGTTTCATCCCAAATTAGCATGTACCGGTACCACTGCAGGCAATTTCTGCAAAGCTGTTATGACCTGTGTGTTTTCTAAAGAAACTGGGTACCTACTGGGGTACATGAACTCTGCCTGAACTACCGGTAAGCTTAACCATCCATGCTTAATATTGGGCCCTTAATTGGTAACCAAGGCAAGGCCTTTCATTCTAAAGCCTGCTCAAAGCTCATTTCCATAATCCCATGGAAAATATACAGTAGATCAGAAAAAATACTTCCGGGCAGCATGTACACAATAGTATAAAGACATAGACCTGAGAAGGACATAGGTTAACTAGAAACAACTACTGTATTCTTTCAGAATTTGCTGACAATGGGAAGGAAATTATGCCCCTTGGAAATCAAAATGTATCCCTACTCCCTGAATAGTGATTCTGGGGTTCTTAAAGCAGCAGTGCTAATGCAAAGGGTGAGTCATAGGGCTCAACCATTTTGTAATAGGAGGGGAAAAGTAGAGGTGAAAAAGAGGGGCAAATATGAAAAATTAGTAGTGCTG